TAGTTAAACCGAAGAACGATGTAGTTTTAATTGTGATTACCATTTGCCATTTTGCTTGATTCCTTCTGGTACTTCGCTCACGATAACAGCTCCAGTCCAATTTCCCAAACTAGAAATACTTGATACACGCCGTTGAGTCGGGTCAAACCCATCGAGAGCTTGTGTTGGATCTAATGATCTACTTCGCTCGCTCTTCAATGCACAGAGTTCACTGTTTATGGCATTTTGTACTGAATTGTTATTTGGAATACTTAAACGATTCCGATCCATATCAATTGGCTTTATTTCGCAGTTATTTTCTGACATCACTACGATTTTCACTTCTGGTTCTTTTTCAATTGAATTCATCACTGAAAATTTGCATTTTATGGAAAAAACATTGGAATACAATTTGGAGGGAAAATTTGATAAAAATTTGAATAGAAAATTTGGAACCAAAAATACAAAAAAAAAATAATTTTAATCGAATTTTTTCAAAACTAAATCGAAATGAAATAGAAATCAAATGAAAATTTACAAGGTTTTACTTCGTCGATCGGAACTCTCTTCACTTTATAATGCCATTCAATGGGATGCATGACCATCATGCCCAAAATTGCATGGCTGTTTATAGCTGCAAGAATAGCCATCGATCCGCGAAACCCATATTTTTCCATTAAAAACTGCACAAGAATGGGATAGATCATTGTCCCGACACCGATTAAAGATTGAGCAACACTCATCATTACAACGCGTCTCTCGACGAAATAGTGATTGAACGAAGTATACGCCACTGGGATCATGAAACCTATTCAGAAAAATATCAATCACTGATTTATTTTTTAAGCTTCCAGTGATTTGAGTTGGATCAAATTTATGTTTTATATGAAATAACCTACCAAAACCAATGCCTGTTCAACAACAGAGAAATTGCAATTTGATTATTTTCTTCAAAATATTATCACTTTTGCGAATGTGATTCGAAATTCGAATAATCTTTTTTTTACCTTGAAATATGCTAAACGCAATCATCAATTGTTCAACTGACGTAACGAAAATAGTCATTAGGCTGCCCAAAAAGTACATTGAACCACCGAATACGCCCACGGTTCGTATTGACATTTTTTTGAACAATGTGTTTGTGAACAGGCCGGCAAAGCTCAACGCACAGAAAAAGCAGCTGGTAATGATGGTCACTGCACTCGTTTCTTCACCCAAACTCGTTAGGAAGTCATTGAACATCAATCCAAATGATGGCATGCTGCTCAGAGCACAGATCTACAAGATTTTTTAATTTGCAAATGAAAATATCATTTTCTTCTGTTTCAATTAAAAAATCATGGTATTTACGAAAGGCATCGCCATTCCAACGGCGATCAAATAGCCCCAGGAACCCTCAGGTGGTTGTTTAACTGTACGAAATCTATTTTTCATCGCTATATCACCCATATTGAATGACTTTTGTGAGGTGTAATCGAGATGATGATGCCGAAATTACAGACAATTAACTACTGTATTTACAACCAACTACCGCAATTTTATTGTGATCCAAAAATGGCTTATCGCCTGAAAAAAGTAACCGAAACAAGCGGGATTTATGAGATAAAAACGCATTTCGTCACACCGAACCTGACGTTTACAGGTCATCGCTTTCGATGCCGACCGCTTATCTTCAAACGTGTGACTGACACTTACGGAACCAAAAAGTCATTTCGTTTTCGTTTTTCCATGATGAAACTAGAACCCAAATGAAACAAACATGTTTTCTCTTAAATGTTACGTCTTGAAATTTATTTATTTTCATGTTGTTGTTTTACTTTGTTTTCTCTCAATCTTATCATTTAATCATGAAACTTGGTTGGTATAAATCTTAGTGAATAATTTTTCTTTTGTTGACTGGCTAAACTAAAATGTAAACAGATTTTCTGTCTGGATTTTGGGGTAATTAATCTAATTCTTCATTTGGATATAAGCAAATAAATTGTCCTATATAATTATATATTGAACTTAAATGTTATATAAAATTCCAAATAATTTTGATTTTAAGTTTCGACTTTTAAAGTACATAAATCAGTCGATTAATTTCATATATTTAAATTTTTTGTTTAACAAATATGTTTTTTTTTGTTTTAGAACATTATTTTTTCTATTTGATCATACACTGACAGACAGTAAACCACAACGTCTAACAAAATAGAACATTTTTTTAAGTTTTCTTTTGCTCAGACTTACAACGAGTACTAATTTTTTTCTATTAAACAAACGAGTGTTTTCACATTGAAAAAAAAAAATACAATTTTTGTTTGACACACACAATTCAACATTGAAATAAGTACCGCAAAGGGAATTTCCTGGGTCACACATTTAGCACATAAATTGTTTTGTTGTTGTTCTTACAAACGATTTTACATTTTAAAATGAACAAATTTACAATTGAAATTAGTCTATGCTATTACATATATTGAGTACATGTCTAAACACACTCCTTGTCATATCATTGTATTGATGAATTCAAGGTCACAAATAAGTCTAACATTACATCTAATAGGATTTCGGCGCCTGTGCTCTCTCTTTAGACTAAATTTGTTTGCTCAAAATACAAAACAAATGTCCGTTTGTATTTACAAAGGTTTGTCTAAATGTACACGATAAAAAAATAGTTCGAAAATTTTGTGGTTTTTCATTCTTATTCGGGTTTTTTTTTAATCAATTCATCGATGCGGTCAGATTTAAAGAAACTTACAAATATTTTAGATGTGTGTGTGTGTGTTTGAGTTTAAAGCATGGCACAGACTCTCTCAAAAACTCGAATTTTCTGCGTTCATCAGAATGTGTTCAATTCTTAACAATTATTCAAAATGATCAATCAATAACGAAAGGAATGAGCAACATTTGGATTCCCTTTTGGAACGAATATTTGTTTTTCTCTCAAGGTCATTCGGATTTGCGACAATTTTCCATTGATTTAGATCGAAAAACATTTGCTCACCACAAATCGTGGTTTACTTTTGGATATTTCTAAACAAAAACCGGTTTCTTTTGCTATCGATTTGTTATTACTTTCAATTTTCAATGAATATTATCAGCTACTTTAAATCCCACCGCCCGATTTAATGAGTTTGGATGTAGTTTATAAAAAAATTCGCTCTATTTTCCCATTTTTTTTTTTTTTTTCTAGCACTCAATTTAAGCTGACAAAGCCTAGATGTCATCTGGTGTATGTTGAACATGATTTAAATAAAATGTTAATGGATGATTTGGTCGTAAAAATCATTTGAGGGTGAAAATGGATGCTAAAGGTGCTTAGAATACATAAATTAAACGCTAATTTATTTGACATAACATCAACATAAAGCTTACGATGAACGATATCTTTGATACTGAATTCTGAAAATATTTTCTCTCTTTGCATTTCACTAAACTAAAAGGCATTTTTTTCCGTTCATGCTAAAACATAATACTTTTGTTCTCATATAAGTAATATGTGTGATAAATAAAGACAACGGTCACTCACAAACATTAACTATTCAATTAGTTGAGTTTTAAAATAATATTATGAAAAATAACTGTCACTGTTTGCAAAACAATAAGTCACTGAATGTGTGAACGGCGCGCACAACTTGTGATTTGAAACTCGCCGTGAAAAGGCATATTGTTGTTGTTGTTTGTTTTCTTTTTTCAAAAGAAGGAATAAAACATGTAATGAGGTTAATGATCGGAAATGTGTGAATTGGGTTTCTAATCTAGTGTTGGCATTTATATTCACAAAGTGATAAACACATTTGTTGTTCGGAGTAATCAGTTCCGAAAATAATCGTGATCGTGCTAATTAAATTATAGTATATGTGAAAAACGCCAACAATGTTAAAAATTTCTAAACATTAAATACAATTGTTTGTTGATATCGTCGTTTCTAATGATCGATACGCGCGTGTGTGTGTCTATGAAATAGTGACCTATTTTGTGTTGCCCGGAGTTGTGACTGTTGAATTGGTCGTTGCGGTCGTTGTGTCGGTGGTTTTTGCATCGCTATCTTCTTCTTCCTTGCGTGCACGAACATAATCGATGATGTATTCTATTGACCAAGCGAGTAAGCACAAGAAAATGCAAAATGTTTGTGCATGAATGCAAATCGGATAGCTCCCGGTCGCGTCCCGTATCAAACCTAAACATCAGTATTAAGAAGAAGAAGAAGAAAGGAGAAGAAAAAAAAAAACAAATGTTGTGAATGATTTTTCAGAGCAATTGTGTTAAATGAGTGAGGAATTTACCAATCAATGGCCCGAATGCGGTTACAAATAGGCCTTTGCCAATCATATGCCAACCAAAGGCAGCTGGGAGTTGCTCCAATGAACAATATTCAGATACGCACAACGTGAAATTACTTAATGCCATACCTGAAAACAAGGAAATTATTAGATTTTTTGTATAACAGATTGAATATATCAGTCTAGATGGAAAAATAAATAATAAGAAATTTCTTGCTGAATTTTCAATTAATAACGAAAAAAGTATGAAAAATAAAATTCATGATATTAAAAATGGTTTTTAAAAAAAAGAAACATGAAAATTGTACAAACAGAACAGAAATTGATCAAACGTGGTAAAATGAAATTGAAAAAAAAGAGCAAAAAAAAGAGCAATACCTCTGAAAAAACCGCAGATAAAAAGCCATACCATCAGACTGTTGAACTCCGTTTGTTCGGCCATGACTGCAAATGACGAATAGGATATTAATTAAAATTCATATAGCAAATGGTTTTTTCGGTTTCATTTTGATTTTTTCTACACTTACTCGAACGTGTAATTCCGACGAATAAAATGGATATGAAGAAAATGTTTCGTTTTTTAATGTCGAATCGATCACAGATTGGTGGTAAAACGATCCGAGCAGCAATATCACTAATGGCAGTAACCGACAAGCAGTATGCAACATCAGTTTTTCCATAACCGAGACTGGCAAAAAAGAATGGTGTCACCATTTTGAAGTTCATTTCGGCAACGTAAAAAATCGACAATCCGAATAAAATGTTCAAATATCCGGGATCTTTCAACAGTGACACGTCCATCAGATCAACGAATCGTCTCCAGAATCCTTTTTTCGGTGGCGGTGTAATATCAATGCCGATGTCTATATGTGGTTTAAATCCTTCAAGTGACGATGGTCTGAATTTGGTAAATGAGTTTTGTTCATGAAGTGCGGACATTCCGAGTGCAGTGTTAACTCGTCGAATTTGAATGGCACGATCTTCCTCTTCTGCTTCTTCGTCGCCGGTCTAAAAGCGAAAAAAAAAACAAGTACAATTCAATCAAATGGATTCATTGGACTTAAATTCTGAAACTCACATTAACGTGTACCAGTAAATTGCTGCCCATGAAATCGAGCGTCGATAGTTGTGACATAACTGAAGCTTTTCGTCGACGAATCGATGTGCTCAAATCGCTGTTCGAAAAAACTCCATTGGCTGCCATATTCGAACCATTTGACATGATGCGTGGGAATGTTGGTCGCTTTGTCATGCCGTTGTTCATCGAACTGATGGCCACTTCGGAGAAATTCTTACGCATTTGACGTCCATTCGGAGGAGCAACCGATGGAAATAAAAGTGTTTTCATTTCGGGCAATTCATCTTCGTCTTCTTTCACCGTTTCCATGTGAGGAGTTTGTTGAGCTAATTCAACATCGATAATTTCCTCTTTCAAATGCCATTTGACCGGTTGCAAAAGTGTCGAACCGAAGGCTGCGTGCAAAGCCAGTCCAGCCAACACCAAAATTGCCCCACTAAATTCGAACGCCTCCAGCAAAAGTCGAACCAATTGCGGCAAAATCAGCATACCAAGCGCAGTACCAGCCATTGACAAGCCAACAGCTTGACCACGTTTATTTTTGAAGTAGTGATTTAGCGCAACGAATGCAGCCGATGTGGCCAAACCAACTCCGATTCCTTTGAAAAATAAAGAGATAAATGAACAAGAGTTTAAAAATATTGATTTAAATCGTTGCGTATAATTACGATAATTGAATTAGCGCACAAAATGGGCGACAAGAAACTTTCTAGAAAATTGCTACACATTCGACCAAATAATCATATTTTTGTTTTGTTTTGCGAGTTTCATCTGCACAGCAAAGCAATATCACAGCATGACCGATGTTCATGGTTTGTATGTGCTATTGCCGGGCATCAATGTAATTAAATTATATAACTGGAAATAATTGAGCACGAAAACAGAGAGAGAGAGAGAGAGAGAGAGAGAGAGAGAGAGAGAGAGAGAGATGCCACAGATGATATCGAATTGAGTTCCTGTCAATACCATCCGTGTGTGGCACACGAACACGGCATGACTCATGCATATATATGTGTATATCGTCCGTTCAGTACACAGTTTATTTCAAATGCTCGTGGTCAACAAACATTTTAACTGAAATCACATGACGCTCGTCGTTTTCGATGTGCTTATTTATTTGTCAAATTAAACAAATAAAATAAATGTTTAAATTGAACTTTGTTCGAGCACATAGCGTTCCGATTTCAGCGCTGGTGTGCGACAACTGAATTTTTGCAATGTGCAAACATGTTTAGATGGTTGAAACGATATTTTGATATATTTGCCTGGCAAACATTGTATGAATTTGTGATGGACAGAACAACGCACTAAAATGATGATGCGCTTCAACCGAAATGTGAATGCTGTACGCAATTAATTTGGTCGAATTGTGGTTAATTGATGTTTATGAAAAACTCATTATATTCCATTAAATACACACTCGGTTCGTTAAGAATCGATAAGGCAAATGAGAAGAGAGACGAAAAAAATGGTTAATGCCACATTATAAATAATGCGTGGTTTCATTGTCTTACACACATCATCAACCCCTTGCTTCCAATGGCAATATAATTGTGATTGCGTCTCGTGGTTCGGAAAAAAACCGTTCGCTTATCGACCGAGCAGCAAATATCGATATGACCAATTGAGCGGAGTTTTTATTGGCCATCTCCATTCACACTCGGTATTTAGACCGTTTCAATTATTCGTTATTTTTTATGTAGCGACGAGAGCACCAATGTACGCTCGTCGCAGTGTGAACGGATAAAAATAGTTTTATGTCGTTTCAATGAAAGTGAGTGTAGAATTGATAAGCCTTAGACATAGACAAAGCACAATCATCATCAAGGCTTTCGTACACATTCCATTCGGTGAGTATTCCAGTCATGCGGCGTCTATCTCGCTGTCGGACTATATGGCAAAAAAAAAAATGGGTTGAATCGGAACTGAAATGGCATGGTTTTTCTGTTCATTTCGGTGGGTTATCAGCTTGTGCTGATAAATTATTTATTTACTATGTTATCGCCGCAGCAGTCATGTGACTTATTATGACCGATCTATTTTTCCGATGATGTGACGGTGATGAATCGAGGAAAAAATATAAAAAATGAAATCGGCGTTCTCGTTCCGGGTGATTTTGATCACACAAAAACACTCGTAGCCGTTTTGTAACGAGTCATGCGAACTCTAGTGTTTTGTTTATTAAAAACAAGCCGTTAACGGTACATTTAGATTTCATACGGCGTAGTATGGCGATGACATATGTTTGATGCGAAACTTTGTGTTGCATTTCGGAACGCGGCCGCAACAAAGATGGATGATATAAGAGCGTGTGTTGCGAATGCGAGAGTCACAAAATGCTGGTTTAAGTTTTTGAAACAGCTGAATGATCAGCATACACATACTCACTCAATCGTTCAAGTGTAACGCTTTGTCATTGACCTAAAGTTTCACAGTCAATTTCATCGAAAGCATCGTTGATCAATGCGAAAACGCATTGCGCAGTGAATGGTTCTAATGACGAGGTACTGGCTAACTAAATGAACGAATAAAAAATAAAGCGCAATTCATTATAACCTATAATCAGGCGTGAACGCACTGCATAGTGCATTTGAGTGTGCACATACTTGGGAGCATGACTTCAGCTGTGCTGTGTCTGATACAAAGTTTTTTTTCGTTACTCGATGAAAAATTCTTTGAGTCGGTGAAATGTTAGTTGGTCGTAATTATGCGATTAAACTCACTCTCTATGGAAAAATTCCGATTACGACGGTGTGTGTGTTTTTTTTTTTTCTAACTCTTTGCACGTTTCTCTGTTCATTGAGAATTTCCTGTTCTTGTGCTCAGTGAACACACGTATATGCCAGCAAATTATTTAAATTCACCGCTCAAAGGGAGCACGACAGACAGAGAAATTCATTTAAAAATGAATTTGTCTAGCGGCATGCAGCCTGTTGCCACCGTTGCTGCTGCCACTGCTCGATGGCTGCTTGGTACAACACTATTTATCATTGTAATTTGCCGTTGCGTGCAAATTTCGGCTGGAATTTATCACGGAGCGTACCAGACACTCTAACTCGCTTATTCCGACATTGAAATCATTTACACACATATTTCGATACGTATGCCAAGTCAGTGTATGTGTATATGCTGAGCGGGTGCATGCACGTATTCTATTCCATCATAATTGAGTAAAATAGCCAAGCGTATGCGCTTCCATGGGCACCCATGGCTCATGTTTCATATTTAATTATGGATTTGTTAATCTGCTTCGAAATAATTAAAACAAATTGCAATTATTTACAAAAAATCTGATGGATATTTATGCCAGTGTAATGATCGGCCAATGGATTTTCCTTTGCACATGTGTTCTAAACCAATTTTTTTTCTCCTTTCTTCTTCTCTTTCATTTCGCCTTAGCACCACATAAATATACTAATAAAAACCATCTGGATTTTTGTTTTCAACACAGTATTTTCATGATGATGGTTTTGTGATCGTTATGCTTGTCTTACTTTTGATTCGAGTGCACATCAATTGGGGCCAGTGGAAAAAAAATTAGCCATTTCTCCGGCCATTTAATCACTTTTCAGATCGAGTAACGACCATCAAAAATGCAACCGAAACTGCGAATAAAATTCCAAACGTTGCCAGTTGCATCGCACCACGCGCACAGAATAAACGAAACAATGTGTAATAAAAGCGAACGGCTCATTTTATTTTCATAGTCTAGATTTCGTGCATTGGTTGGTCGGTCGACTGCTGGAATGGGCAATTATTTTGAGCATACAATTTCGATAGCATTGCTATGATGGCGGTAGCGGCAACGGTTGAGGTGATGATGTACATTGGATGGCTCGTACACCATGAAAGCCGTGACTTTTTGAAGAAATATGAATGCAAGCTCGTTGAAAAATTTAAATTTTATGCTCCGGATATTTTTCAATGGAATTATTTACACAATTTGCACAATCCAAATCAAAATACCAACAGATAAGAAGTGAAAAATTGCTGAGCACCGCGCAATATGTTTTTTTTTCTTGGTTCGTTCATTGGCAGGAATTGAATTTCACGTTGGCAAATTGTTCAAACAGAGCGGCATACTTCACCATGTACAATGTCACGTCGTCAAACATATTTCAAATTGATTCAATTTTACAACTCTACTCGTTCATTTCAATGCGAATCGATCCATCGTAGAAAATGTGCCAATTCTGCCCGTCATGTTCAATCGATATAATTGCCTATCAATAGCATTTCTGTTGAGTTTTTTTTTTTATTTCACCAAACGAAGGCCAATTTTCAATCGATATTCTGAAACTTGGGCGTTAAAAAACCCGTACGAATTACGATATTTTACTCTAACTATTTTTTCTATGTGTTTCAAGTGTGATTTCATTGTTAAACATTACGAACAATAAACGCTCGAGCCGTTTAACGAAACCTATACCATTTTTTTTAAAAATTCTGACGGCAACAAATCAAGGTATTCCATTCTAAATGGCAAAACCGAAGAAAAACTCTCACATTTCGTTTTTTCGTGTGTGAATTAAAACGCCTTTTTCATAGATATACGTCATTCTATCACTTGAAAAATGTATAACATGTACATCTACGTAATGATTTGATTATTGTTGTTGACACATGATATAATCATAAATTATATATTTCTCCGGTGCTCGTGTGTGTGTATGTTTTTCAAAACGTTCGTCAAATCCAATTATATTTACGTCCAATTTGAAGCTAATTTGAAAATTTGTGAAATCGCCGTGTGTAAATTGTGTTCGATTCCAATGTGATTGGCTAGAAGCACCAATTCTAAATGCAAATACCAGTTGCGAGAGAGTGCAAAATAGCAATAACAACCAAATGATCTTGATATGAAAAATGCATGTTATACAATGTAGACCGGTTTCCGGAGAGAAAGAGCTGTCTTTTTTTCTCTATGCATGAAAACTAATCATCGGCACTCAATAGCGCACCGTTTTACCGGAAAGAGTATAGTATCACACAAAATAAATGTGAAATAAATCGATAAATCGATTGAAGGTAGACTATGGTCATTTGGTATGCAATACGGAGAAACCTTCGGAACATAGCGACAGTATGGACAGAACCAATTTAAAACGCAACGCATTATGTGTGCGTAATCACACACACACCGATTTGCAATTTACGTGAATTTATTCTGAGCCGGGAACAACAGGCGGAATTGAAGCTCATGATAATGCGTACATTTGCATTTAATCGAGAAAAAAAAAGAAAAATAATAAATTCCATTTTCATAATACGGTGATAAATAAAAGTTGAGCCAACGCAAGACAAAATTTATGTACATATATGTGCCGTTGTGTTGTGATTGTAGCGTGTTGGCCAAATCGAAACGAGAAATTTTGCACGTTTTCTTTTCCACATTCTCCCAGCTAACGAGTTGTGAGTTTGATAACGACACGCTTTAGTGTTGTAAAGTTTTTTGTGTGTATGTGCCAGTGGCACTGCCATAGACCTTGAGTGCACAATCACAATTACACATACAATGCGCACACGTCGGCAACCTATTGATATTATCCATTTAGATATTGTTTTTCAGCGCGTCGTCGTCATCGTTTTTTCGTTTTGTTTTGTCTCTCCTCGGTGTGTTGTTGTTGTTGTTGTTGCTTTTTTCTTCTTCTTTTCCGTCGGTTCGATTTAATTTGGCATTTACATAAATAACAATTGAAATATGCGTCAGTACTATTTCCAAACGTGCAGAATTCATAGATATTGAAGAAGCGATATGTGAGTATATTTTCCATGCAGCAGCAGCCACCATTTGTTCTGTTGCAGCTCGTTGTGTGCCTTGATGATCGGCACTTTTATGCATGTAATAATGAACTATCAATAGGTAAATTTAATGCTATTGCATGTGAACAGCAAACAATGTATTTCTCGGAAAGTCGTCAATGGACGAAGAAAAAAACAACGTGAGATATTGCGATAGAGCAAGAATTTCGAACATTTCCATATGAGAACAAATGAGTTTGGGTCACACACACACACACACACAGAGACACACACACACACACACGTGTTTCTCATTAGTTGCATTAATGCGCTTATTCTGATAGGAATTTTGTCAGTGTCGTACATATAATTTTCGTTTCAGCTGTTATCGACCGAATTCTCGGAAGGCATTGGTACTTTCTTTGTGGTATTTTGCTAGCAAAAATTTCATATTAAAACTAGAACAACTGCACTATGAAGCGCAACCAACAAAGAATATAAATTGTTATCGCTTCAACTTCATTGAATTGATATTGTAATGCAAGTAAATTGTATTAATGGCTGAATCGAAAACAAAATGCTCCAATGAAATTAAATTTTCACGCGAAATGACCTAAATTCAAATCGATTTGAACACGAAAAAGTTTTTTTTTGTTCATTTCACATTCAATTCAAACTGATAAACAACTCGTGTTGTCATCGTTGGGCGCAGAGATAGCGAAAAATAAGCGATGAATGTGATTTGCACACAATTTTCCAGCAAAGTCAAAGTCAACAGCAACAAAAGTTAATGAATCAATGTAGAGAAAAGTTTGGCTTGGTTTACTTACCGTTGATGACACTGTATGTGGCTAAAATGTGTGGCATACTCTTTGCAGGCGAGGTAAGCGCCAAACCAAGTGAGCACAATAGAGATCCAGCGATGGCCACTTTTCGATAGGAAAACTCCTTCAGCAACGGTCCAACGAATAAACCCGAAAAATTCATCATCACATCGTAAGTGGACATAATGACAGCAGCACCGAGTGTTTCGACGTGCAACTCTCGCAGCAAATCGCCAAACAGCAAACCGAATGATGGTTCAATGGCTCTTGTTGCCAACTACAATTCCAGCCAGTTCGTGTTCATCCGAATGAGCAGAGAATCCATATTCATGCGAAATTAAAAAGAAACGAGAAATGAAAAGAAAAGAAGAAAAAAAAAATACCAAATTACAATCAATTAGTTAGCAAACAATTTCGAAACCGAAAATATATTCGATTGACACACCATGACTTAACATCATGAAATTAGAACATTAAGAAAGAATCGAGCAACGATGAATTATATCATTTTGTGCTGTTTTTTTTTTCTTCTTTCATTATGTGAACGAAACATTTGGAATGACTTAAGTTTTAAGACGAAACAAAAATTGGCCAAAATTCATTAATTTTAATAAGCACTTTTTATGTGTCGTGTCGTTATTTTACTCATTCATACTGCCAGCCAGTCCTGGGTCTGTGTTATTGAAATACGAACGGAAACGAAGAAATCGAACACTTGAATAGTACGTCGTTAGTGGATACTTTCTTTGAAAAAGCTGATTGCTGCGCGAAATTCAACACGTTCATTTGACTTGGATTTCATAAACAGTCGTACAATTTCGGCGCAGAATTGCGAAATCATTCTTATTAATGGCGATGAAAGCGTGAAGAACCACTTGTTGAACTTTTGGCTCTCTCACACTCGCATTCTCTTTCCAATTTGGAATTATTTATTTTCTTGGCACAAAATCAGCACATAGCACACATTTATTTAATTAACTTTTTTTTTATCGTAATACTCACATTGACTAAACTGACACCAAAACAGGCGACCCATCCCCATCCACCTAGTAGACGAAATAAAAAGTTCATTAATACCAATGTTATCGTCGCATAGACAATGAGGAAATAGACGATGAATCTGATTTTCACCATTTTCTAACAAAGTCAATTTCGTGAACAAAAAAAAAGTTGATGAATCAATTGGAGAAAAACATTTAGCACCCTACTTACCGTCTGGCGCGACTTTCCTCGTTGGTTTTTGCATGATGAAATCCGTGCAATCGTTGTTTTTCGTAGCAATAATATTTTATGTGGAAAATTTGTTGCTTCAAAATGATCCGACAGTGATAAATTGTGATTGGATTGAATCACAGTTGAGATAAAATCAAAATTCGCTTCAATTGCGATCCACTTTTGATGACCTTTAACAGCGCGTTATCTCAATCGGCACGTTATATTATGATAAGTTAAAACAATTTTTCACTTTTTTTTTTCTTTTTCTTCTTCGAATTTCTTACTTAACTGACTGAGACTTATTTGTCACGTTTTGATTACAACAGAAACACTAGTAGACTTTTCATAACATAAATATATTAAATTAGGAACTGTTTAACCGATGCTCCGATTTTACATTCGTGTGTTCACTATACAAATTGTGTTTGTGTGGAACTTAAAACTCGGTTAAAAAAAAAAAACAGATATATGTAGACGAACAGAAAAAAAAAATAAAAAAATAATTTATTCTTCTAAAATTAAACTAAACGGTTCACTGATCACTATTTATGGCCACTCGTTTTGTAAGTAGATTTATTTTTATTGTTGTTCTAACGAAATGAAAACAGATCGCTTGAATAACGACGGTGACGGCGACAACGACGACGGTAGCAGTGACGATGGCGGAAAAGTTCACTTTGAAGTGAATTCAAGAGCAAACACAAAAAATGAAGAAGTTTTGAGATGGTCGTCGCGTGCGTACTAGCAGAGCGATGTGAACGCTATGATATTTTATCACCAATTAAAACGTATTTGTCGCGTCTCTTTTTGCTAAATATGAGATATTTATTGGCAAATACGCTACAGTGGGTTGCACAGCTGCTAATGTTGCTGCTGCTGCTACTGCGGCTAATGCTACCGTTTCAAGCGTGTTCGTGAATGATTAAACTTTGTACTCTCGTTTCACAGCAAGTCCGATGCTTTCTATTCCTCACTTCGCATGGGTATACGTACGTGAGTGTGTTTGTGTTAGAAGCTCTCGCATATGCGATGTATATAGACTGTCAATATGGTTCAGGCAATGAGCTTGTGCCTCTGTTTGTATATGAAACCATGTGTTCCGATCGGCGGCTATTCAAGTTTCGTTGCGCGGATCGGCGTTTTTCGCAGATTCAGCGTGTGCGTTTACTGATTAAATAACTAAGTAAATAATCGCTGCGAAATGTGATCGTGTGTACCTAATGTTGCGTATAAACCAACTGGTTCGACTGTCCGTCTCTAGTTCCGATATGTCGTTTTTTTCCTGCTGTTTTTTGTTTTTATTTCTATCGCGTATGAACTGCTCAGAACTAACTCTTTGCTGGCCTTTATTTTTGTTCTCATTTAGTTGCTTCACGCATATAAATATTCTCGTCGTCGAGTTTTGCCAAGAAATATTTCAATCAATCGATGAATTTCGTTCAATTCAACCATTCAATTGAGAAATGATGAGTGCAAAATGATGTGACTTGGTTGTTGTTCTTTCTTTTTGTTTAAATTGAATAACTGAATTCACGTGCTCTGCACGAGCTTTATTCTTATTCGTTTATTTGAACGAGCAGTTTCTTCCATTCGCTGTTGATTTTTTTTTATTATTCTGCTGACGAAGCGAAATTGACATATGTAATAATAATATGGCCGCAACGAGTTGTCAGTGCTATTCTGTTGATGATACGATTTAATTGCCGACGTTTTATAAGCAATGCGAATCAGTTGATTGAATGTAGATTTTATTTGCTGTGGACGAGAAAAGCAAAAGAATTATTTTTTTTTGTCATTCAAGTGATTTTTTGTTCTTTGTTCGTGTCTCGGGAGTCATTGAACAACAAAGTAAGCGACAAAACAATACAAAAAATTGAAAGAGAAAAAGAATAGACAGAAAATTATTGTACATAACTTAAAGTGCGTTTTTCAAGTAGTACGTGAATGGAAGTGAAAAATTGCGGCGGTTGTCAACCGATTATTTCAATTAACTGATGTAGAAACATGAAAAGTCACGAGTTATTTTTTTTTTGGTTTCGGTTTAAATCATTGCAGTGAAGTAATCACACATTGATAACGAGCAAAATGGCCCCATATAAGTATGTCCAGTGTCCTTGTGTCAATTTTGTTATTCGACATATAATCAGTCATACTGTTTTCACCATTGCGTCTTAATTCATTTTTTTTTGTTGGTGTTCTAATCTAATCAATCGACCCGATCTAGAGTTAACATTGAACCGATCAATAAAATTCGAATGGCAAACCGACATAGAATCCCCTAGCATATAAATTTACGTCAATGTTTCATTGTTTTTACGAATTTTCGATTATTCAATTCTGAGGTTATCGATCAAAATGCGAGCCTTTTATCACGTGCCAATGAGATATTTGGCCGATTACTTTGCCAGCAAATTATTGCGTCATTGTGATAAACATCCAACTAAATCGTTCGCGATACAACGAAATCAATGTTTCTCGTATTTCAAACAACGGGGCTGTTGTGTTCTTGCCAATTAATAGATTTTGTCATTTTGCCGTTCACGAATAGAATATTTCAGAGTATTGTATATTTATATTACGAAGAAAAAAGAGCCATGATTTTATTTTTATGCTGATTCCGGTTGACTCATAAATAAGCGTTCTTTCTCCTTCCACGCACTAGATTTCACTGTCATACGGCGCGCTATTTATCACCACCGTTGACTGACGAAATGCGAAAGAGCCGATTATAGTCAATGTTATAAAAACATATGAAAACGAACGAAAAAGAGAGAAGAAAAAACGTACAAATTCACACAAGCCCAGATTAATATGTGTATGGCAAACAAACCATATGTTGGAAATAACGATAAACAGCATCAAAATATTGCACGAGCCTGAATATATAACACATACTTCGAATAGAATCGTTCCGTTTATTGGCATTTAGCTGTCGGTGAATATCGAATGTGACCGCTAGAACAATAAGCTGTTTACTGGAATTTGTGGTCAAAGCAGAAGAAATGATGATATATCGCGAGAAATGACATGAAATGACGGAATGGACACGGTAAATCACACAACAGGTGATCAATGTCAGCACACAGATTCATCAACAAACACATAATAGCACATGCTAATGAAATGGCTAATAACAGCGAAATTATTACTGATGTTCTCGATTTTATTGGTGCTAAATTTGAGTTATTACCATTACGCAGCAACAACGCAGTATGAAATACATTGTATTCTCCTTCTTTTCATTATTTCAAATTAATCACAATCGATCGCGTGGTGTTTATTTTTAGCGGCTGAGTCTAATTTATCGAAAAACATGTTATTTTAAGATGTCACAACGATATGAATTTAAACTTGAAATGTTCTCTCCTCAAAGTATATTCGCAACTCCGAACCGATGTTAACTGGGCAACTGGGTTGTGATTTCAAAATTTACTGATTCAATTTACAATGTTTAATGTCAAAGAAATTGTCCATTTGTTGGCTGAGTATGCGCGCCCGCGTGACTGAATGAGTAAAGAATTAGACAGAACTTTTATGAGTGTCATCGGAGAAGGACATTGCGTCACGCTCATTTAGCATTTCACAGAATCGACGATGAAAATGAAATTCAAGTTTATGCGAATTTTATTACATAGTGCGATGAGTGAGAAGATGAAGTATTTTCTTCGTTTTTTTTTCCTCGAATAAAAGAAGAATGCAACGCCGTTGGCTAGGAGAGACATTGTGCCGGCTGAGGGGTGGAAATGTGCTTCGATTCAAGAAGGCTAATTGAAAAACCAAATGACACTGAGAGTGTATTTGCTCACTGGAGCAGAAGCACACGCGCACGCGGCTTTTTCTGTCATATTTTCGTGGCTGCTGATTATTATTACACTGCCAATTTACTAAATTGCTATTAATGTGTATTTGTTAAACTGATGATTCAACGGCACGCAGTTCACCAAAATCGATGTGAAAATGCTATAATTTCGTAGTCGCTACCGCCACATCCTTGTCACATCGATTCTTTTCTTCTCGTTCATTTTGTCGGTTGTGTTCGGTTTCGTTTCTAATTTGCTGACTGTTTTCTGTGTTTCAATCTGTCTTCTGACTCAAAGTGTTTCGAAATTCAATAAGTGGAGAAGCGACGACAACAGTTCGGGGAAAAATGCGATTTATTCAGGAACTGTGTGTGTGTGTGTGTTTGCTCGGCATGTGTACGAATGTATTCAAAATAATCACCCTCATTAAAAAAAAAAGAGAGATGCAAATTGGAGACCATATGCACAGTGTGCCTACAATCGTCGTATTGATAATGATGGGTATATTCGGCAAATTTTCACATTCACACAGAAAGGGAACATTGGTGTGTGCACTGTGAGCCAGTCTTGTGGTTCTATTTACGCATTCAACTTCGAAGTTTAATTGGAACGAAGCGCTGGAAATTCACTCGCTGGACGGAATTAAAAATACGTGTTATTTTTGAACGCAATATCCGTTGAAGAGAGAGAGGGAGAGACAAAAAAAGAAGATGATCCTTGTGTTGTGGGTTAGCAGCAGAATATCCATAAATTGAAACGTCCTACTCACAAGATTTATCGAGAGCGGTTGTTGAAATGGTTGAAATTTGCATATTTATTTCGTAACTTCGGTATGCAAAAAGGGCATCGAAGGGAAACGAACAGAAAAGGACGAAGTAGCGAAAAATCCTTTACATACTTCGTCGATGATTTGCAGATGAAGAAAATTTATTCAACACCCAATTTTCGGCGGTACAATAACTTTTTTAATTTAAATTAGATTCGATAGAAATGGAAAAAAAAAACACTGAGACAAGAGACTCGGTGTTCAGCAAAGCCACAATTGCACAACAATTTTTCGTACGCATTCATTTTCCTCATCAGTTCATAATTTGTTTTTTATGCTCTTGTGTTTCTTTTCCCATCGCACCAAGTGACTCTCCAATAATTTAATGAAAATTTATTTATAACTTTTCAGTCTCGTTGTTAGTCGTGGTTTGTGCGCTCGCGTGTATTAGCTCGCGATATACCGTACCGACTCTTAGTAATGATTTGCTGGAGAGAAGCGAACGAAGGAAGAAAAAAAAATGAGCATATTTAAAAGGCACAACGTAATGCACAGGGCATAATTGAGAGACACTGAAAAGACGTTACTAACCGAAATACATTATTCATTCGTACAAAAGCGATCTATGTGCTTCGCGCGCACACGAGCTCACTCACTCGCAAATTCTTTTGTCGTCAATATTCACTTTTGTCCCGAGAACATGCAATAAAAGTTGGCTTCGAATAAAATGCGACAACGCTTTTTTTTGAACTTGAACTGTTCGAGGTGAGCGTTAGCGCGCGAGTACGCGAGCCAACCAACAGCAACGCAGTGAATGCAGTTTAATCAAACTTTAAGTTTTCATTTTAAATTACGAGAAATCGTACAAGCAAATCCTTCGCACATATCACTCATGTGTGTGATGAGCAATGTCAATGCCAGCCAGCGTCGATTGTATCGCCTTGAATAGACGAGAGCGAATCAACAGACCTAACAAAAACAGCAACACACTACCCGAACGAGTTAAATTAAACAACAAAAGAAGAAAACGCAAGACGAAGAAAGAAAAAAACAGACGATGCAGCCGAAGGAGATGAAAATAAAATAAAAAATCAGATTACTCGAAATCTTTGGCTAAGCTTTACCCAAGTGATCACTTATATTGTGTTGCTGTGCGTTGAATGTAAGCAGCGGTGTGTGCAATGCATGCCGGCACTCACAAGAGGATGATGAATAATTGAATACGCACCGTGAGAGACTCGGCGAACACTGGTTTTTGTGTCTAGAGTCAGTATAGCTCTCTTGCGCTTCTACGTACGTCGTACTTGCTTGACTTGGCTTGCTTTGCAGGCGTTGACATGTGCAATGTGTGACAATTGAATTTGTGCGAGCATTGAAGTGAATTCGTGCCACCACAGTGGGATAGATTGCATGCGTAGCCCATCGTCGCTAAATATAGCACTTATATAATCAATTTTTTGTTTTACGTGAAGGACCATCGAGATACAAATACACAGTGTACTGTCTACACACTGTGAGCTCTGAGTATGTTCTCGTCAAATGAATACTTTCTGACGCAAATACTACTCAATAATAATTGACCGATTGATTTTCGGATTTTGCTTTGAAATGCTTTCGCTAAAAATATCCGAAACATTGGAAATGCACACGAACACAGACACATACATTCGACCTGAGTAGAGCAATATCACAAGCAGAGGCAATGGCAACTGTTTTCGAAAACTGCAACGCCGCGCTGCACATTCAAATTAACCAGAAAAACTAGTTGAACTAGTAAAGAGAAAATCAGAATTAAATCGGTGATTTACTGCAAAATATTGAAATTGGCAGAATGTTTTTCAACACCAATCGGACCGAGCGGCACACGGCACACACACACACACACTGAATGTTTTATGAACAACAACCGAAATGGAAACGAAAATGCTTCAAAGAAGAAGAAAAAAAAGAACAAGAGAACAGTTTACATCAGCCAAAAATAAAAATGAACACTCAACGAACAAAGTTGAGAAGGAATCAACCAACGAAAGAATAATATTTCATATTATGAAACGAACAAAATGAAAAAAAAAAAGTTATCACTTCTAATATTTCATGAGCGTGGCAAACAAACACTAACAGAGCGCGTCGAGTGTGTAGCCCAAGCTATGGGAAAAATAAAACAGAAACTGAAAATAAAAGGAATCGAAATACTAACCATTTGTATGAAATAAACAGACGAAATTGAATATGTGTGTAACACAGCTCTGAATCGGTTTTTTTTTTTGCTTCATTAGAGATAAATTCTTGTGTTATTCGTTTTTTTTCCCTTTGTTTATTTACAAAAAATATACACTGAATTTTTGTTTTGAACTATCACAAATTTTTTTTATGAAAAAACTTAACAACGAACGTGAAGTTTTGTTTTTTGGTTTTACAAATTTTTGTGGTTTGATTTTGTTGTTTTGATTTCGATAAAAGTACAAAGACCAGATAAAACAGATGAATAGAAAGAGATTGAACAAAAAATAAAATGAAACAATAAAATGGAGAGCCGAGTAAAAACTAAAATCCAATGCGTGTGGTGCAATGTGCAAAACCAACTCTAACTATCGAAAACGGAATTTTAAAAGAATAAAAAGAAATTGAATTGAAATCATCGCAGTAGTAGCTTGCATATGTCCGATTTCATGCTAGCTGAATGTTATACTGAATCGTATATGCACGCTCCGAAATAGTGAAACATTGTGTAATGTGCAAGCCTCTCGCATACACAGACACGCGCGCGGACAACCGACCGAATCATCCATCGATGCGAGCGTAAGAGATTGTGTTTGTGTTGTCCTCTCTTTCGAAACGACATACAAAAAAATTGAGAATCTACATTCGAAATGAATGAAATCCCATACGGCTGAATGTCTCTCTCTCGACAGCTCACAAATACCATCGCACGAAGACACGAAGCAGCAACGCAGTTGTGTAAATATACATCAACATATCATATCGATACACGCACGCTTGTTGCCTTTTTGTTTACCTACATTCACAATCAAATACGATACGCTCACTCTCTTGCCATTCGCTCGGTGTTCTGACTCTCTTTCTATGCTAAGCGCGCTCTCTGGTATTCATCGCTGTTGTCGTCCTCGTGTCTGTGTAGTAGAATCGAATGGATTGTGTGCTGTGCACAGCAGAAATTGTATCGATTGTGGGTGCTGCTGTGTATTGAGCTCGATATTGGTTCATGTGGATTATTATTTTTTTGGACGCCACACGATTTGCTCTCTCTCTCTCTCTCTCTTTCTCTCTCTCTCTCTCTTTCTCTCTCTCTCTCTCTCTCTCTCTCTTTGTTTGTTGTTTTATGCTTCTCTCGTAATGAGTCTTTGTTCCTTGATCTTTGTTCCAATCTCAAAAGAATATACGCACACACGTACACTCAAACACTCACACTCATACACACTAACTCATATGACGCAAACATTGCGAGCAGCTGATTGTTTTGTTTATGGCGAGCGTCGAACTTACATCAAGCCACAAAGAATAGAACATTTTTTCAATTTTTCGACGGCGATTTTTGTAATTTTTCTTTGTCATTTGAAGTCTCATGGTTAAGGCAGAACATTTGTCAGTGATAAATTGTCACAAGTGTCGTCGCGTGAAATAGCGTGACGAGAAGGAGAGAGGGAGAAAACGGAGTTCGCGAATAAACCGAAAAATTCCACATCATTGAATGGGTTTCACTTAGAACTCTCTCGAGTCGCGAACGTTGTGTGAAATGGTTTTTTTTTTGGGCGAAAGAAGGTCGCAATGGAAAAGTCGGCTGTCATTCACGTGGTTATCACGTGATACAGACTCGTCACCACTCCATTCCAATTCACAAAACATTCGTTGATTTGGTGACGCCTTTTTATTTGTCAATGAAAGAGCATATCTCCATCCATCGCCATATGCACTCTCCTTTTTTTTTATATAAGAACCAGTGCACAATGCTGTATGTTTCCGCTTTCGCGCAGCATTCATATCAGATGAGTCTCTAAATGCGGGGGCACGTTATATGCATCTTTCAAACGATATAAATGACGCATACAATTCTAATCGTTTCCATTTTCGATGTGTATAATTACAATAGAATACATCATTGTTTACTTTCTTCTCCACATTTAATCGACACTCTCGTCTTTATGTATATATTTTTGTTTCTAAAAATGGCAAATGAGATTTCAATTGGTCATTGGAAAACAAACGCTATAAAACTTCGATAAAGCCGTCTAAATGTAATTAGCTAACGCGACGCTTTGAACGGCAAATAATTAGAAAATTCTTTTCGTCCAATTTGTGTAAATAAACGTGGCGATCCAATGAACGACAAATAGATTATCTATTCACATACTGATACTCATTTGCATATTGTATTGTTATTAGAAAAATATTGCAAGTGCGTCACACAGTTAGAACGTTTGAGAAGTGACAATTAAACAAATTACTATGCACAAAGACGATCACAATATGTCATTTTATCGATAATAACAATCAATGCCACGGTACGCCATTCTGTCTGCTACATCGAAACAAGCACGATCAATTGTGTGCAACAGGCACATGGTCACATCACTTTGTGTATAGTGAAAATGTTGCTGCAAACAGAAAACCCGTTTCATGAATGTATCGTGTGAAGAGTACTAAATGCATTTTATGATACACTTTTGGGGAAACTTTTTTTTCTCCTTCAAACTCTCCACTCTATTTGTTCTGGTGAAAAAAATCCGATCTCGATCACTATCGATTTGAGCAATGTCCAACGCAAGGGTTCTATCACTGTCCAACCAAGTTCGTGAGATGGTCAAGAATAACTGAGTGCCGAGCAGCAGATAGCCGTTCGAGAAGTAGCCTAATAATAATAATGAAACAACCCAACTGAATCAAAGAAGATTCCGATCATGCACTCGTTTCATGATCACCAGCTACAACACAAACATTTAAGCGTCGTCGACAAGTTGAAATACATTGTGCGCTTGTGCTAGCAGCATTTCCCTTTAGTTTTTAAAGTGACTTAAACCATCATAAAAACGTTTACACTACTTTTTTGTTGACGTCGTCGTTGTCGTTATGCAAACCAAACCACAATTTTTCTTTGAGTGTATTATTTCGATTGCGGATTCGGTAAACACACTCTCATTCGCCAGCAACAAATTACTTTGATGCGCATTATTCCATTTGTTTTGTTTGTTTTTTTCTCTCTCTTAAACAAAACACTTTATTGTTCAGTTTCTCATTTATTCAGTTATGGAACTTTGTCGCGAAAACAAGTATTTTAAAATATACAACTTAGAAGTGATGATCACTACGGACATTTTTGTGCAAGTGACATTTTTTTCTGATGTGCTTCTGTTGAGCGTCGTTTCATTTGTTAAACGGTTCTACTCTGTCTATAAATAAAGTGACTTTTAATGGATCCTTCCTTCAAACAACGTTTTTGGCACTAATTAACTGTTTGCACATTCACTCTCACGGGACATTGGTCATTGAGCTCTTTTATGTAAGTTCGAAGTGTGTGTGTGTGTGTGTTTTTTGTCAAAATATTCAGTTGATTTGTTATTTTGTTCAAAAAAGGCGTTCGAAGGTAGTCCACCACACGGGTGACCTTATTTTGCACGCACATATTCACACGTGATAAGATACACATACAAACATTTAATTGTCACTCAATGGAACGTTTACAATTGAACAAAATGTCCAGGCAAACAATTATTGGCAATCAATACCATGTGTTTGTCCCAAATGCAAATCACCAATTTAACCTTAATCGAGGGACCTTAATTTAGGACAATGCGCAAACAACAAACAATATTCTATGACTTAACAAAATAAAACGAAACAAATTTATTGAATTCATTGTAGAATTTTACAAAATAAATAGAAATGTATATAAAGTCGAAACAAAAGAACGCGCTAATTTCAACGAATTTACACTTGATTAGATTTTTAATGGATTTATTTATGAATTTATCGTGTACGCTTGAAATGAAGTTTTTGTGATTTTTTTTGGTGTATGTGTGTTTGTGTGACGTGTTTTACACGAGTTTTGTGCTTTGAATTTATTCAATCACAGTTTGGTCTTTCTGTTCAGCCTGTTTTCGTTTTCGTTCCTGATAATCACGGTAGAATTTCTCGCCCAGCCAGCTTATCGTTACGAAATATGTCGCCAAGTTCAAGCAATGCAACGTCACCACGTAGTCCGTCTTATCGCGAATCCAACCTGGTCAAAAGGGGACAGAGACGTTTACTTTTCAATCAAACTGCATTTTCTTTGTTTTGCTACATGAAATCAGTTTTTTTGTTTCGAAATGAAGTCAAGATAAGAAAAACACAAACATACCAACGACCGGTCCGGCAAAAAAGTAAAAAATACCAGCCGAAATTAGTTGCAAACCAGACGCCGCTGGTAAACGATGCAACGGTACATAACTTGGAATGACTAATGCCATGAACACGGTTCGCAACCCTTTGCCCAATCCAATCCAACAAAATGCGACCAAAATCGCCGTATATGATCGATAGAATGTTATGACTGTGGGAAGAATAGCAAAAAAATCAAAAGATTATACATTTAATTAATTTTTTTTCAACACATTGATGTTTTAAAACACTCCTTGACTTGACCAAGTCAATCAATTCAATGAAAATTAGATGCAGCACTTGATGAAAAGTTCTTTTTTTCATCTTGATTTTGATGAAAGAAAGTTTTTAAACAGAATACTTACACACTCTGCCCATTGCCATTCCAAAAATGCCTACTAAAAAGAATGTTTTATTCTCCCATCCAATCTTCCCAGCACAAAATGGTACAAAAAATCTTACACCAATATCGACGCCACCCAACAATGACATTGCCATTGCGATTTGTGGTTTTTCTGCAACGAAATCGTAATTTCGGTAATTCATTAGTATAAACCGATTCGACTATGGAGATGACAATTTATCAAACATTTACCAAATCCCCATTCGCTCAGCACAAACGGTGTCAACAGGGAGAAATTCAACTCGGCAAAATTGCCAAGTGTCACACCCAACATTAGGTTTACATATGTGAAATCACGTAACAAATCTAAATCGAAAAATACCACGATTTTTTGCCAGAACGAATGTTTCTGTTTGCTCTCTTCAATGACTTCATTATCATGTTCGTCGCTTAATACTGGATCCAAATACAATCGTAGCTTTTCATCGCACATACAAAACCCTTCTAAATTGGTAAGAGTCGGTACACGATCACCGGTTGCAACGAATTCTTCGAGTTTTTGTGAAACATTTCTCAGCACTTCTTTTTCCACATTGAACGTATTGTTGGTGGATATTTTGCGGCGCGGCGATGTGACTCGGCTAAATGGCAACTTATTTGTGGTAAGAGCAATTTGATGGTCGTTTATGTATTTGATTTCGAGTGGTGCATCCATTGAAATGCGAATGTCAGGTGTCTTTGGCGTTCTGGGCGTCATTGGAGATTTTGGACGAATGTCAACATTCTCTTGTGAATTTTTGCCGCTGGAACCATCCTCTGGGTGTTCTTCGATTTTATGTGCGGAAATTTTTCGCTTTTCCCGTTCTTTTGCCATGGCAGCCAAATTCACCGACGATGATCGATTCAAGCTGACCAAATTCTGGCTGGAGGGTTTTCGTGACCCAAACCGGCTCGCTCGTTCAGAGTACAATGATGCACGCGATCCATATAGCGATTTTTTCGATGACCAACCATCATTGGCTAGTGATAACATTGGTACACCGGGATCGATAATTTCATAGCCGGTGGCATTAGCATTGTCGGCATTATACAAATACTGGCTTGATAAAATGCTCGGATTTTTGCGCTTTGTCATTCGGCAATAATCACATTCATGTTGAATGGGAGCTTTCATCAGTGTTTCTTCGACATTTTCCAATTTGCTCTGATTCACATGCCATTGTACCGGCTGAAAGATTAACGCACACACGACCGCATTCAATGCGATGGCGGTGAAAATTAAAAGGCTGCCTTGAACATCGTACATCGGCAATATAATGGCGATCAATTGTGGCATTAAAATGGGCCCCATTCCAGTCAATGTCCATGACAATCCCGTTGCTATTCGTCTTTTTTCCTTGAAGTATGTGTTTAGCGCCAAGGAATTTGCCGATGAATTAATTCCAGAGCCAGCACCTATTTTTGAACAAACGCCAAGTGATTTATTGCATTGCATTATAAATTATTCATCATTTTCTGTGCTTGTGTTGTAATTACCGTATAAAATGGAGAAGGTGATTATATATGTGACGAATGAATTAGAGATCGATGTAAGGTAAATCGAAAATGCAACAAGTAATGCACCAAATAAGGCAACCTGACGATACGTGAAACGACGGAACATTGGTCCATTGATCAAACCTTAAACAAACGAATAACAATTGTGTTAATTAACATTGTAATTGGCTGCGGGAGACATTCGTGACAAATTGAGTAAAATTGTTGGATCTCTCTCACCTACACACGACGTTATACATGGATTCAAATTGATTACAGTTGTTATCTCTGATGCGGACAGACCAATTCCTTCTAAGCGCTCTTTAAATAGTAATCCGAACTGTTGAAGTACGGGGAACGTGAATAGCTGCAATAAAATCAAATGGAAATCAAATCATTCAATCGACCTATTTTTGTTAAACACCGATCACACATGACTAATTGCATGTGCACGTGAATGGCGCAGCACGTTTTAATCTCTAAACACCGACAAGTGTTTTTTTATGGTGCCGCTTGTGACAATGCACCAAATCAGATTTCGTCAATAACCCGATATCGAGAATTATGATTGCCATATTCACGACAAAAGAAATAAAATTGACTTACATTTGAACAACCAGCTGCAACGACGACAAGCCAGCCCCAGCCACCTATCAATAAAGAAATTATATCGTTTCGTTCGAATTTCACTAGTTTTAGTCACGATTCAAACCGCAAAATTTGAAATCAAAAATCAATAAATACCGTCTGGTGCTACGAAATCCGGCCCCAAATCACATTTTCCCTGTGCCGGCTTTTTCTTGATACCATTCGTAGCTGCATGATTTCTCCCCGCACTTAATCCATTCGTTTTGTCATCACCTTGCTTCATTGTCACCTTGAATGTTTATCGATGATCGCCGATGCGACAAATCCACCGACAATCGTTCACTCGACACAATTTATTCTTTTGTTTTGTCTCACAATCAGAATCGTATTTATTCAAATCGAGAGATATATACACATACCTCGGGATTTAATCATGTGATAACGAGACTGTGACTGTTCTGCAATTAAAGATAATCACATATTATTCACTGAATGCAATTTGAACACTTTATGGATTCTAATGTATAAATATGTGCTATGGCTGTCGAACCATGATTTGACGCCGTGATAAATTACGATTCTAAGGAAAATTGTAAAGCAAATTGTTATTACCCACAATAACTTTAATTACAATTTAATGAGAGGAAAAAAAATGTGAAGCAAAACAACAATGACACGTAATGCGAGCGATCTGGGAATTCCATTGCAAACTTTTTTTTCGAAAAAAAAGAACAGATCTTTTAATTTTATATCATAAAATTATTAAAAGTGAAATGACAGTAAATTAGTGTTTATCAGTAGAAAAATGTAGTGAAGCTTCTTGACCTATCTCATCTATCTATATGTACTGTGATCGCAAGGGCGAACGGGAAAGAAAGCATAACCCACGAAAATTATCGGTCGCAATATATAATGCATCATATGATAAGCGGTTTTGGTTTGCTTAGCCATAACAATAATAAGAGTCATATATAATGTTTGACGAGAGTAATAACGAATTTCATTTGGGAGATTCCAAATAGGGTGATAATTAAAGTGAAATCTACGTTAGATTGCAATTTTTTTCGGCGATAACTTGACGCCCAAAAATTCGCATTGCGAGGTGATTTATTCATTCGTGGATTTTTAATCACTTTCGTCAATGGTGTTGTTTATGGTCGAGAACAAACAGAGAAAAAACATGGTAAAATCAACACAACGCTTGATCTTTGTTCAGCAAATATGATATCGTTGAATTCCCGCGAACAAAATGTATGAATAACCGCAATATTTGTTGATATCTTAATTTCCGTCGCGAAACAAAAACGATAATGATGCAGACATCATTTAAATGAAATCACAAACACTAAATTATCGATAACGGATTGTTTTTATTGATTGTATTGGTTCAAGTTCAAGCATAAATTGAGTAATGTCTCATCGACGACTTTTATTCTCCCTCTCTTGCGATACCTTGTTCCGTTGTTCATTACAGCGTATTCGTTTGGCAAAAGACAAAATAAATAAAACATTTGCAATTTTTACCGAGTTGAATGGCGTCGCTGGTCTTGAATAATTTCTCATTCAAACTGATTCATCCGCAAACACACACACACACACAACGTGTCGTCGTCGTCGTCGTTGTTTTTTCTGTTTCTTTTTGTTATAAATACACTTTTGTTTCTTTGGCTTGATTCGATGGCTTTTTATTTTGTGTATATTCGCATCGTTCGTTTATTCATTCACAGTCGATACTGTGCGGCTCTCCTATCTCACTAGGATCCTGATTTGATGTGTATTTAGATATTTTTAGAAAATTTTCTGTTTCACCTTCGTTTGTGGGGCACGAGCACTGATTCGGTTGAACTTTGATTCGAGTTTTCAAACCGTTTCCAAATAAACGCTGTTCAATTTTGACTCTGAATTTTTTTTTTATTCCGCTATATTTTTTTGTCGATCGTCAGATTGTCCAGCAAATAGTTCACAATTAATCACAATCGATTGCAACGGGTTCGATTGAAAATGAATCACTTGTTATAACAAGTAATCACTACGAAGGTTTCAAACAGCTGGAACTATTTGAATTTAGATTAAGGTGAGCGTGAAAAAAAAAATGTTCTTTCAAGATATTTGCTAAAATCGAACCGAACGGTGTAGAGATTGGCAGTCGACTGTTTCGGTTTTTGCTCTAGAGCCGTGTTCTCTCTATGATCGGAGAATTGGAAACACAGAAAACAGCGACGCCGTGCGCGCACACACATATTTATAGGAAAAAAATGTGTGATAGCATGACATCGAAATCGAAACTCACAGCGTGTATATACAGCTTTGGGCGTGCGCGTGCGTGTGGATCATGATGTTATTATCAAATCTACTGCTTTCGTACACACAAAGAAATGTCGTTTTTTTTTTTTTCCGATGACAAATATGACAGCATTTAATATAATTGAAAAATTCACACGACAATACAATCAAATACATGATGTATTGTTGTCGGTGTTTTCTTAAACCTTATCGCTGGTTGGTTTGAGTTTTGCCAAAGTATACATTTTATATGGATTAATACGATGATAATTCCTTTAACACGCACTACCATTTCCGCTACTATCAAATTTGGAGTAATTTTGATTGAAATAATGAGAAGCACATGACTGATTTTTACTTGATATTTTGTTTTGACTTTCAACCAACAACTGATAAGAAGAGGCTAGTGAGCCAAAAAATGGCCTCACTAATTGATTGGGCAAATCAAGCATTGCCTGTCAGGCAATTAGATCATCATAGTGATCATATGTTATATTGTGTGCTACAAACACACGCGCTGTATACGATTATGTGCAACTTGAAGCGATTCACAGACATTCCGTCTGCGACACAGCGTCAGTGTGCGTCGTCAATATAGACGATATGTATGTTGCTTTTTTATCGTGAATTTTGAATGTTTTTGTTTACTGTTGCGTTGGTTTGTCAAAATAAAACCAGTCACAACGCGCATTGAATGCCAATTTAAGCTGAATCCAAATTTGGATGTCGATTTTCGGATGACAGCTAACGAATTTATGATTTCAATGTTTCAAAATTCCAAAGAAAAAAAAACTCTTCGCGGAAAAAAAAATGCTTATTTGCAAGTGTCAACATTTGATGGAGGCTTTACTTTAGGTTCAGGAATAAACAGCTGATAACATTCGTGCTGAGCGATTGCATTGCTCTTATCAGTATGAATCCATATATGAATGTATGTATGAGTGATTGAGTGAGCGTGTGATTATATCACTGTGATTCTTTGAGTATCTGGTCTTGGGTCAGTCTATCTACTCTCTCTCTCTGTGTGTGATCGTACAGTCATATTCGCAATTATAAAACACGACGAAATATATGCAGTACAAACAAATTTGACGACTGTACTCATTGTTACGTCACATATGTGGCAAACGTGCCAACCCGCCGACGTTTCGGACACATTTCAAAGATACTACAACTTCGTATTGGATGTCATTTTGCACAATGCTCGGGATTGAACACCCGCTCTCTGTAGCAAACGATTGAAACTTGTTTATTTTTCTACGGTCTCCCTCTCGCTCGCTTAATTATGACTTTGTTTTGACATGGCTCGTTTCAATTCGTGTTGATAATGTCGAACAGCGAGTGCATTGATTGGATTTCGATTTTGCAGAATAATAGTTACTGTTCAACGTTCATAGTTAAATGAGCTAGATAGTCGGTGAGCATAGACCAGACACTCTCGTCATTGTTTACGTTTTATTTATTTTGTTCATTCTAGAATGATCCAGCTAGGCGCACACATGGGGATCATCAACGCACTTGACAGATGAAGTATAGAGCGCAGAAAAAAAACAGCTGCAAAAGGCCGCATATGTGTGAATTATTTTGCTGAAGCACGCGTTGAAAAGACTGGATGTTATCGAAATCAAGACAAAGATAATAGGCACGACAACACAATAGAGAGAAGATTCAGCATTCCGTTTGAAATGTCTTCAGTAGGAAAATGTCCGCGTAGAGCGACATAAGCAAACAACAGAGTTGCTACGTCGCTGGCATGTGACTTATCATCGCTTGAGGTTTTAATAAAACTGTTGATTCAATAACAATAAAACTATCTGTTTCGCAGCAGAAAAGAGCTGGAATAATATTTTCAAAACGAAAAATACGTTAATTTTCTGTGATAAAAAAGATGTGCTACTATTTTTAAATGAAGAACTACATGATAAAAATATCATTAACAACGAAACGGTTTTGCGAAAAACGAAAACTTACTTAAATAAATAAAGTGATAAAATAGCGGACAAAAATGACAACCAAATCGCGAAAGCAGACTTTGCGAAAGCAGACAGACATCACAGACTTGGAAATGGTGCCACCGGATGGAAAATATGGCTGGGTCATTGTAATTAGTTACGCCATTGCCAATGTAAGCGAACAAAGGAAAAATTTCTTTTTCATTTTATTTTCTTTTTCGAAAATTTTGACTTTTGAGCAGTGCTCGTTAAACGGCTGTTGGCTTATCTTATCGGTTTGGCGGCGAGCCAGTTTCACAATGCCTGTTTTTCAAAGAAGTGTATTTTTTTCGAAAATACTTTGAGTGAATTCCATCATAATAAAAAAAAAATAATCGCATTTCACTCAACTTTCAATTTTGTTTTTCTCACTCGTTCCCACACACACACAGTTCATCGGAATTCCAACGACTTCCAATATTGGATTGATTTTCAAAGACAAATTCGATGCAATGAACATGCCGGCGGCTGATTTGACGCTTATCATCAATATTAACTCAGCGTTATCGATGTCGTTGGGCTTGATCAATGGGCCATTGTTACGATATTTTGGATATCGGAAAATTAGTGTTGTTGCTGCGATACTATTCTCTGTTGGTCTAATGCTAACCGCCTTAACAGATAGCGTACTCGGTCTCATAATCAGCTATGGAGTGATAACAGGTTGTGCGCATACCTACAATTGCGCGCGAATTAAGTTTAATTTATGCTTTGTTGATTTTTCCAGCCATTGGTTATGGACTGAGTAATTCGTCATTTGGATTAGCATTGAATTCATTCTTCACAAATAAATTGAACAAAGCCTCTGGTGTGGCAATGACTTTAGCTGGATTTGGGCCCATCGTTTATCCTCCGCTAATAAATTTGTTACTTCATTTGTACGGTGTTAGCGGCTGCATGCTGATTATTGGCGCTATTGCCTTGCATATGCTTGTGGCAGCTTTTTTATTACAACCACTCAAATGGCATCTGGTCAGAGATACATCGTATGAACTGCCGCTCAAAGAACCGCTCAATTTTCCAGCCATTCTACCCAATGTGTCAACGTTTCTATCGATTGGAAAGTACTCAGAATCAAGCTGTAAGTTAAATGATGAAGTTGATTTTACAATCAAATATGAATTAGGCAGTTTTACGATAAAGTATTAATCAAACACAATCGAATGTGTCACTAATCGAATTTTGATTATCGAAAATGGGCTTAATCACTACCGATTCAAATTGATATAGTCTACTTGATTAATAACAATGGAATTTTTTTTCATCATTTTTTCACATTTCAGTTGTTCCGAACAGTGGGCCTCGTCTTCCATTTGCTTCAATCAATGACCTTGGTTTTGATCAAAAATCATCTCATTTCGAATTAAGTCACGACATTGATACTCAGAGTATTTATGGATTCGATCAAATTATCCATCGACAACCGTCACACAATAAACTAGACCAAACGGTGATTGCACGAAACTTTTCAAAACGCAACCTTTGCTCGATTCCGCAGCGCGAAGAGCTTGGTCTAATCAATCACACTGTTGACGAAGTGGACAATGAGCCGCAAATTCAAATGGGTAAACCATTACGATGGTTCGAAACAGGATCAGTTGGGTCAATTCACTTGGGCAGCTCATTTGAAATATTCAAAGAGCCTCCAATCACTACAGCTCCAAGTAATGACCGTAGAAAATCATCAATATTCAATCCGTGGAGAAAACAAAGTCAAAATTTGATAAATGCACTGCGTATAACATCGCGTCGAGCATCACAACTATTTGTTCCAAGTGATGACCCGATAAAAGAAATGAAAAAAGAACCGTCCATGCCGGAAAAATTAAATGTAATGCTGGAAGATAACGAATTTAGTGCCCCACCTGGAGAAGTGCCACCTCAGGAAGAAAATGACGAAAATTGTTGTTGTGCCGTTTTCAAATGGTTCGTGCGATTCTTTGACTTAGATCTGCTGCGTGATAACATCTACTTAAACATTATGGTCGGAATGGCCGTTTCCATATTTGCTGAGATCAATTTCGCCATTTTGACGCCGTTCATTCTGTCGGATTTGAATTTTAATTCCGATGAAATCGCATACATCCTATTTGTGATGGCAATCGCCGACTTAATCTCAAGATTTTGCTCACCATTCATCGCTGACAAATTGAATTTGTCAATTCGAGTCTCATACCTAATCAGTCTTATCCTGTTGGTGCTAACCAGAATGTGTAAGATAACACCAATTGATTCGACTTTGAGATTCGCCATTGTTAGAGATAATTGATTTTGTTTTGTTTTGTTTTCAGCAATGATGTTGACATCGGACTACGTCAATATGCTGATAATATGCTCCGCATTGGGTGTCGCAAAGGGTGTTCGTTCCGTTTATATGAGCATCGTCATTCCCAGTTATATTCCACTCGAACGTCTTGCATCGGCGTCAGCCATTCAATTATTTGCCAATGGTATTGTCATGATGTGCATTGGACCCGTTCTAGGTACGTCTAGTAGAGTCAAATATTTTTTGTTTCATCAATGTAAAATGTGCAATCTTTTTAATCTTTTTGTTGATCTTGTATGATTTTAGGACTCATAAAAGATATCTCAGGAAGTTACGTTGGCTGTATACTCTTTTTGAATGCATGCACCCTCGTCACAATTTTCATGTACTCAATTGAAATGACGTACACTTGGTATCGTCACAAATCGTGCAGTGAACAAACTAGCAGCTAACATTAGATTGAATTGAATAATTTCATTCGCAATTAAGTCATACAATTAAGCAATATTCCAATAGCATTTATAGTCAGTCTCAAATAAAGCAACCCATATTGGATCATAGTTTTAATTTTAATGTTTTTCGATTTAGATGCAAATTGTGAAGCAATTATACGTTGGTTCTAAAATAACGATGGAAAATGACGTTTTTATTGTCACATGTGGGAAATGTGTTTTCTTTTTATGCATATCTCTTTGAAATGAATCCTTTGCTGCATTACTGACAAAACTAAGAAGAAAAAACATTCAAATTCGGCTACCAACTTCAATACAACCAACTTCATGTGCATGAACGTTTGAGACAGGCAGAGCACCTGGTGGTAGGTTTACGAAGTGTGTCACATTGTTTTCCAAGTAAAATCCAGTTGGAATGAGTTGCAAATACTTTATAGAATCTGTGTGTCTGTCAACATGAGTCTTTGATTTCATTTGGTCATAACAAGAAGTTAGTTGTTTTATTTTCTCATTCAAGGTGTATTTTTTTCATCGATTTTAGTGCTTTTGGTGTTATCAAATCATAAATACGGCGGTGATTTTTTGATTGGGAATAAAAGGTAGGCAAGTAGTTCAAAACGAATGGAATTGAACGCAATAGAAAGAAAAGTTTATTGTGTAGATTTCATCTGTGTTTTGATTCCACACAAAGACGAATTTGTTTATCAAAACAATTTGCTGAATTTACATTTCATTGTTAAGTCTATTGCATGAAAGGTCATTAAATAAAACTGAACAAAATAGCGAGAGAAAAAAAAACCTTGTTCAAAAGGTAAAAACAAGTTCATTCATTTTTCAAGTGAAATCCGTATGGAATTTTGTTTATCCAAAAACCATGGTGTTGATATGATTTCTTTGTGTCACCAAACAAAGCATTGCTCTGCTTTTATTGTGCATTTGCCATGGACACCAGTTGTTTATTACGACGTTCAATTGTTTCCATGCACTTTTGAATTACATTACCATTCATATTCTGGATTTGATTTTCGTTTTATTTTGTGCCACCATCAATAGTTCAATCACTTGTCAATTCTCTCGGTGTGTATAAAATGCAAATTCACATGACATTTTGTTGGGAAAAAAAAGTGAGGTTAAATTCCCAATCAAAAAAAGAAATAGAGTGATTGTGATTGAACAGTTGTTGGAGACGGAGCAGTGATTTCTTTTGCATAATTTTGATTTGGATTCTGATTACAGCTAGTGTATGTAAACAAAGATGGTGAAAAAACGGAGACAAGGTGACCCGTGTGCCAACGACAATGACTCGTCGTCCGATGAAAATTTCCGAAATCAAACAGAAAAAGGGGATTCAGACCCAAAATGTACACACATCAAACGAGCCGTCGACATTCAGAAATTACGTCGAATGTTCAAGAAATCGTCCGTGGAAAATGAAAAATGTGTCGATTGCGTGAAAATGTCAAATGGTGATGCAGATGCCGAGGATTTTGAACAGGATCGTTCACTTTGGATGTGTTTGAAATGTGGAACAAATTTGTGCGGTCGATCGGTCAATCAACACGCACTTAAGCATTTTCAGGTGAATGGAATTACGAAATAATGTGTCCGAAAAATGGTATCGAGCTCTGCTAAGCCATTTTAAACTCGAATAATTTGAGTTAAAATTCTTTTTAATCCATGAATAATCAACAACAATATCATTTTTGTTCACTTCCAGACACCCAGATCTGACTCACATGCATTGGCTTTTAATACAACAACGTAAGATTATTTATTTTCGGAACAGTGACGTGTTGAATGAAAAGAATGTGTGATTTCCCTTTTAGATGTGAGGTTTGGTGCTATGATTGCGATGCGTATGTCACAAATATCGAATCAAGTTTGCAGCAGTGCGTTGATTTTGTGAAATCGGAACTGGCCAAGGCAAAATTGTCGCCCGCAAAATTAGTCCCACTGGAAAATGGAGACAGTCTTCCTTCCACGGTTTTAGTCAATGGTGATACGAATGATGAAAATACGCCGCAAATTAACCAAGAAACGATGCGTTCACTGCTTGGAAACACCATTAGCATAGTACATTCGCTGAGCTCAAATTCAAATATTCCCGGCCAGGCAAAACGGGTGCTAACCAATGATGTCAACAAATTGCCACGCGTACGCGGTTTATCCAATTTGGGCAATACATGCTTCTTCAATGCCGTCATGCAATGCCTGGCACAAACACCATTTTTGTTACCTACCCTCAAGGAATTGTCCAAACCGGATGAAGAGTGAGTTTTTATTCATAGCAAAAAAATCCAACCAATCTCAAAATTTCATGTATAAAAATGCATCACAAAATTGTCTTGCCAATTATTCAACTAGATTCTCATTGCCGGGCGGAAAATTCAAGTTTAAAGACAGCGAAGAGGAAGTTGAATTGGAGCCCATTTCTGGAAAGTTAAAATCATGGGGACCATTAACGGCTGCACTTGCTGAAGCATTGGAGGAATTGCAATCCGGAGGTGGCGTATATAATCCAAGGAAATTGTTTTCGTCTTTGACAAAACTTTGCCCGCAATTCAGTGGCGGTGATCAGCACGATTCGCATGAATTGCTCCGCCATTTGTTGGAGAGTGTGAAGTAAGTTTTCGAAATTGTTGCCTTCCAATGAATGGCTTAAACACATTTTTACTTCAATCTGTGTAACGTGAATCACAACTTTTGTTTCTCTTCCGCAGAACTGAAGACTTGAAGCGCTACCAAAAAGTAATCTTGGGGTTTTTGAATTACTATGATGAATATCGTGGCAAAGATCTACAGTCGGTGCCCGACGACATCAAACAGAAGTGCAAATTTTATGGTCAACAAGCGAGCGAACGAATTTTATGCCCTGAACAAGTGTTTCGTGGTTTTCTGGTATCAACATTGGAATGCCAGGACTGTCATAACACATCGTCGCGTCATGAAAACTTCCTCGATTTATCGCTTTCAGTTACAGTGGAAAAACCAGCGCCACCAATGCGACGCAAGACGCCACCAATCCGACGCAAGAGCAGTCCAGAGGAGTTGAGCCCGAACAAAGAACACCAGCGATCAAAGTACCTTAGACAAAATGAACAGCGTAATAACAAGAAAAACCGTTCATCATCACAGGAAGAGTCTGATGCAGACGTTGAAGATAATTTGAGTGAAGATTTTAATGTAAAGAATAACAAGATTAATGCAAAGAAAGGCGGAAAGGGTGATTTGATCGACAGCAATGGAAACATCGAATCGGAGAAACAGGATGATGACCCGGAGAATTTGAATAAAGATTTGAATGGTAAGCCAATTTTATGAAATTTTATTTTACATATAGAATCTTGTTCATTAACGCAAGATTGTCTCTGTCAACAAACCGAAAAACAAAATTATTCGAAACCAATTAAAACTCCATTTTCATTGTTATTTTCAGAATCAAAGCCCGTAAATAATGAATTTCTTGAATTGGGAATCAGTGCTAAAGGTGGCAAAGAACTTGTACAGCAAATTTCGCAAAATGAAAAAGCCGAATCGAATGAACCAACATCATTGCTAGACAGTTTTCAGCAAATGAATTTGGTCAAGGATAAACAAACAAAAACTAAACGGAAACGCTTGCACAGTTATACTAACTGGAGTACAACCATTGCACCACGATACCAATGCGAGGACGGTGAATGTTCGGTGCAATCTTGCTTGAATAACTTTACGGCTGCTGAGCTGATGACGGGCAACAATAAAGTGGGCTGCGACGCATGTTCGGAACGTATTAACGGAAAGGGTGGCAAAACGATAAATACTAATGCAACGAAGCAATTTTTGATATCGAGCCCGCCTGCGGTGCTCATTTTGCATTTGAAACGTTTCCAAGTCGGTCCACGATGTATGTTCCGTAAGATGACCAAACATGTATCATTCGAGTTCACCTTGAACTTGGCCCCGTTCTGTGCATCAAAAGTTAAAACACTTCCGAATGTGCATCGATATCAACGCAAACTAATTTACTCGTTGTATGGCATCGTTGAGCATTCAGGTGGCATGTACGGTGGACATTATGTTGCTTATGTTAAGGTAAGACAGATCTTGTTTTGTGAATGTTTGAGTTTCTTTCTCAAAAAACATTTCAATTTTATCAAAAGATGAGGCCAAATCTAACGCCCGATGATCCACGTTGGAAATTCTTGCCGAAAGGAAGCAAAGTGGAATTGGATCAGACTGATGAACAGAAGGCTCGATTGGACGAAGCGTTGCGAAAGACTCAGTTAAAGGAAAATCGACTCCAAGGTGGCGATAGCGATGATTCGACGTCATCGTCATCCTCCGATTCTGGAATAAGTTCGAATGCAAGCAGTAGACGAGAGGTACCGCCAATCATACCGGCTCCACCTGAGGGCAAATGGTACTACGTATCGGATAGCCATGTAATGGAAGTAACCGAGGAACGAGTGAGAAATGCTCAGGCCTATTTGCTCTTCTACGAACGAACATACTAGATGAATTCAAACACCTGAATTGGATTTTATCTGTGTTTTTGTTTTGCATTAAAAATCGAAAACGTTCAAAACGATTTCAGTTAAATTATCAATTGCATTTTAAATTAGAATTATTTGCCGTTTCGCAAAGAGTTTTTTTTTTCTTTTCGTTTTTCTATATGAATCAACAAACCAACGTCAAGATGATATAATATTGTAATTCAATGGATATAAATTTATAAATGATGTTTCTCCTCTCTCCTTCTCACTTGTTGATTCAATTGATTTGCATGCATTTCAGCTAATCGAGATAGTTATGTCATAAACGTGTATAAAAAAAAAAACAACAAATTTAATTAAATAAAGAGATGATTATTCGAATCTTGGCGAATCAACCGAATCGACTTGTTTTTATTTTATCATCATGAAATTATGACAGATCCTTGTTAATCGAACTGTAACGACAAAAAAAAATTACCCGAAAGATAATGTGTGTTTTGTTTCATTGACAAAGAACGCATCAATCATGATCTGGAGATTTTTTTCTATTTCATTAGGATCATTGGATAACGAATTGATGGTTTCTGAAAGAAAGTCTTCGTTTCCTATTGTTTCCTAGATTTTTATGGATATTTCTACTCTGAGTAAATATATTAAATGAATAAAAAAAACAATTTAAAATGCAACTGCTTGTATTTCTTTCACACTTTTATTATTATTTTTCCTTAGATTTTTCATTTAGATAAACAGAAATCTTCACTACTTATGAAACATTTGAAATATTTCTGCAAGACAACGTTTGTTTTTGTTTTGAATAAAATGTTTGGAACAAACTGGATTCGATTTTATACATTCGAAATTCCAACCTGATCAATATTTTGGCAAAGTTTGGAAAAATCCAATGAATCAAAACAAGTGAAGTTTGTTCACAGAAGGGAAAAGAAAATCATAGTATGATCAACGTTTTTGATTACGAGTTTAAGATCGATGGTCAACAAAGTTCATATTTCGATGTTGTACTGAATGCTTTTTCCAAGACCACTGTCTATAATCGTCTACCAAACTACACAATTGGAATTTTTTCACGAATTCTCAATTTCGTTCACTAAAAGTAGTTTAAACTTCATAAATTGCTCTTCGAAAAAAGACAAGGAAGTGGATTAATGGTAACGACACAAGTGTGAGTGAATTAATATGGCAAAAAGGCAAACGTATATTTGATGCATACTTGCTGTAAACTGTATAGTAAACTATAGTGAACTATATGGCTATCTCTTTTCATTTGACATTTTTCCTCTCAACTTTTCTGTATGAAATTTTCGTTCCAAACCATTCATATACTACTCTCCGATCTCACCCATAGAATTGCTCTTACAGTTCCAAACCATATAAAAGTCATTTAAATATAGGATGTAGAGAGTAACTGAACAATGGTACATCGACCGAGCGATGAGGCGATTTTCTGGGAAAATTTAATTAAACTGTTGAAATTTCATATTCCATATACATTAGACATGGTTTAACAGAAATTCATTCTTTACTTTGAAGCGAAAAATAATAAATCAAGCAAAATGCGGTCGACCATATTGTTGATGCAATCCACAGTTTTGAAGCGATATGATTTGCTGAATGTTTATATCGTGACAATTAAAAACATGTTAGTCCCTTAGAATGAAACTTTTTTCGCACAAATCGGAAAATAAACTTGTCATCATCATTTAAAAAAAATCAATTATGTTTATAGGGAAGGTTGGTTTATTTGCATTTGTTCATAATCTTTGAACCATTTGACTGTGCCTAGTTCTCACAAGATGCAGATTCATGTACGAAAAAGCAACTGTTTGAATATGTTTCTGAGAATTCTGTTGAAAAGGCAATTAACTGTTTACATATTATCGAATACAAAAGAAGCATTGTAATCAACAAAAAATCTGGCGACAATTCAATAATTTGTTTATTGCTTTCGAGAGCAATAGTGTTACAATATTTATATTTTGACAGTGAAAAATATAAACAACACTGGGCTGCATAATGAGCTCAGCTATGAACTCAAACCACACATCGAAGCATAGCTGTTTCAAAATTGAACGCTTTGCATGAAATTCTATTTGTTCAATCATATTATCTCTCTGGTGTGAGATGTACTTTCAGAAATGGGGTATAATTGAATGCTACAATCGATGCAATCCATACTTGTAAAATTCAAGAAGGTGAAAAAAATTGGTCCATTTATCAATGAAGACCTGTTAATATAACATGCCGATAGAGTCGGCAAAGGAAAATCATCTCAAAATCAGCATTGTGAAAAATCTCTCCATGGAATCTCAACATGGCCGCGTCTTAAATACTGTATATGTGTTTAATATGCTTGGCCGCATGATAGCAAGTCTCAATAACGTCTCGTAACGAAACCGTAGCCGTATTGGCACACCGTATACACACACGACTGCAACGCATGAGATCCGTTTTTGCCGTTTTATAATGTAGATCTCTGTGTATATATTGGTCGTTTATATACTTGATGATTTCAACGCAAGGAGAAAAGGCGTCCGTCCAATTTGCGAGAATACTTAAAGGGTTTGGAGCATATATATTAGTTGCCAACGCGGTTTACACGCCATTTCGTTGTGATCGTTTACCGCTGAATGTTCACTCGCTTGCATATACAAACAGTCGAATTAGAATTAGTTTTGCGTGCATTTTTATTCATCTAGAATCTAGATGTTAGATTTGAAATTATTTTCATCGCTTTTATCTAAAAAAGATTCAGAAACAGTAAGATAAATTAAAAAAAAAATTAAAACTAAAAAATCATAATTATTTTCCCATCATCATTGCCTGATTGTGATTTTTTAAGCAATTTCCAATTGTTCTCTATAAATCAATTTGATAATGTGGATGGATTGATTCTTATTATCGGTTGCCAATCGTAAAATCATACAATACGAGGTGTTAAGTGAGAAATGTAGTGAAAGTAGTAGTTATTGTCTTATGATCCCAAAAACATGGGCCACACGATTCACATATTGTGTTCCATGCTTCGCTTTTATAGGGCAACGTCAAGTTAATCGAGTAGCCATTGCTTTTTCAATACCGTACACAAGCGGAGCATGTCACACAACTTGTAAAGCGTGAGGCTGATGTGCTTGGAATTAATCAAAGTATACATCGTATTGCATGAGTCGTTAGCTCACCATCCTAGTGCACTGAATAAAGATTAAAAGCATCCGAAAAATAAATCGAATCATTTCTATTAAATAAATTTTGTTTAAAGTATCAAATGGAGGACGAAGGCAATGCAGCAGGAATGGAATCGGGTAATAAAGGCATGGAAAAGCTGATTCCAGCTATGAACAAGATTTTGGACGTATGCAGCAAAATGCGTGTCAATATGGAATTTGATTTCCCACAAATTGCCGTTATTGGCTGCCAAAGTGCTGGAAAAAGTTCAGTGTTGGAAAACTTCGTCGGAAAGTGAGTCAAATATACAAATATTATCATCGGTGATTATCTACAAGCCCAGAATTTATCTGTGAATCAATTCATTTTGAACAACCATTCATAACCGTAAATATAATTCATGAAATTAACACCACCTTCAATCTTTGTTACGTTCTTTGCAGAGATTTTTTGCCACGTGGTTCTGACATCGTCACTAGATGCCCTTTAATTTTACAGCTCATTAACGCACCAGAAGGTATGATAAATAATTATGATTCAAAGCACTCTAGTTCTTTTTCGTCATTCCATCTAATTCGTCAAATATTCTTAATTTTTTTTTCGAAAATTATTCTATTTCAACAGAATACGGCGTATTTACGCATTGCGAGACAAAGTTTGCCGATTTCAATGATATTCGTGAAGAAATCGAGCGCGAAACTGAACGCAGAGCTGGAAAAAATAAAGGTGTTTCTTCTGAGCCGATAAATTTACACATTCATTCACCACATGTGTTAAACCTTACGTTGATCGATTTGCCGGGTATGACCAAGGTTGCGATTGGTGATCAGCCCGGTGATATTGAGCAGCAAATCCGAAAAATGATTCTTCAGTTCATTACCAAAGAAAATTGTTTGATTCTGGCTGTTTCGCCAGCAAACTCCGATTTGGCCAATTCGGATGCATTAAAATTGGCTAAAGAAGTGGATCCACAAGGTGTTCGTACAATTGGTGTTATAACCAAATTGGATTTGATGGATATAGGCACCGATGCTCGGGATATTTTGGAAAATAAAAAATTGCCATTGCGACGCAATTATGTCGGTATCGTAAATCGTTCACAACATGACATTAATGTGAAGAAAGATATCTCGGCAGCATTGGAAGCCGAACGTGTTTTTTTTACAAATCATGAAAGTTATCGACACATGGCTGATCGTATGGGAACACCGCATTTGCAACGAATGTTGAATCAAGAATTAACGGAACATATTCGCGATAAGCTGCCAGGTTTGCGAGAGAAATTGAGCAAAGACAAGGTATCACTTGAAAACGAAATTGAAGAATTCAACATGTTACATAAAACTGATCCGGAACACATGAAAGAAATGATGCTGGGGTATGTTCATATTTTGTCAATGGCAAAAATTAATCTAAATATTGATTGTGCAATTTTTGTACTTAATTTTGATTCTATAGAATAATTCAAAACGTGCAGTCAGATTTCGAGAAAGAAATTGGCGGTCTTGGCTTAAAAAACATTCGAACAGATGGTTTGTCTCGTGGTGCCATTATTTGTGAAATATTCCATTATCGGTAATTCATTCGGTTTCATTTTATTATTTCAATTTGAACATTAATTGAGAATACTTCTGTTCGTTTTAGTTTTTCATGCGAAATTTCAAAAATCGCTTTCAAACCGTCTGACATTCTTAAAGAAATTCACGTTGCAATTCGCAACGCATATGGTTATCTTCCGGGCGAGTTTGAACCATATAATGTGTTTGAATGCTTTGTGCGAAAGCAAATCGAACGATTAAAAGAGCCTGTTCGTAACTGCGTTGATTCGGTGGTGACTGAATTGAAATCGGCTGTACGGGATTCCACTCAAAAAGTAAGTCGCTCCTTGTACGTTCGTGCAATTTTGATTTTTGGACATATACATTTCAACATGGTCTTTTGTCTCTTTGATTTCCAAGGTTTTAAACTATCCAAATTTACGTGACGACATCGAAAAAAAAATCATTGCGTTCATCCGTAGCAATGACCAGGAATACAAAAAAAGTATTCTTTCGTTGATTCAAATGGAGCTCGCATATGTGAATACCAAAAATGAAGAATTCAAGAACAACTTGTAAGCGCCTCTATCTAATTCCATCTTTCATTTGTTAACTATAATTCAACTCTATTACTCACACATTTCAATAATGTCAATAGAATAACCGAAGAACTGGATTCAACCGAAGAACTGGATTCAACCGAAGAACTGGAATGTGATCAGGACGATAACAAAAGTTTAAAATGCGCCCCGCTACATGAAAATGACAAAAAAGAAATGGCTGAAAAAATCGATGGGATTGCCATGGATATGTGCAAAAAAATCGGCTGTTACATGGAGATTGTTAAGAAGAATGTTTGCGATAGTGTGCCAAAGGCAATAACATTGAATATCATAAACAAGTTGGAAGACTACATGAAAAAGAAGCTATTGTTGGATTTTATTTGTCTAACAAATGATGAATATGTTAGTAAATCATGAAATAATCAGTTACTAATTTTCATATATAATTCGAATTTAAAATTTTCATATGTGATTTATATTTTTGCAGTTGAAGATTTTCACATTGGATCCAGAAGTGGACGAAAAGCATAAGGCAAAAGTTCGAACTTATGAAGCATGCAAAGCAGCACTGGGTATTATTGGTATGTATTTGACATTATTCTTTTTGATTATTATTATTTAATCATAACAAATGATTCGTTTTGGTTTTTCTTACACTCATCAGATTCGGTGACCATTTAATTTCAAACGGCTTCGAACGGTATGGTGTCATCGCGAATTTTCCAATTAATGGACATTTTCTTCCAATAAGCATTATTCAACTTATTTTTTCTTACTTTAGTTTTATTGATATATCTAAATCTATCTCTTACTTAATGTATCTCAATAACAAACCTACTTCTACCAACTCAACATAAATATCAGAACAAACAGCAAATAAAATCGACCGAATTCGCATATTTTCTGAGAGAAAAAAAATCAAATGTTTTCTTTTTTGGATACGAAGAACCAAAATTTGCACTGTTCCCTATGAAATGTAGACGAGCAGGTAAGATTTTATCTTAGTGAATAGTAAGTAGTAGTCATCTACTTGACAGAGTTCCAATCATAAGAGAAAAAAAATACACTTTTTCTGACTTCAACCAGATTTCGAGCAAATTCCAATTCATCAAAAATTCAATGCGCTGATCTGAAACCGAGATAACAAAATTGAATCGGCACTTCCTTTCTGAAATATTTCATCTCAACTACAACATTCCTACATAACCTGTTTGTCAGTTTTCACGTCGCTCAAGAACATATTTATTAATACCAAAAAATTCGCAACTTTTTACAACCTAAAACTTTCAAGTTGGTGAACAAGAATAAAATCGAATCATTAACTCATCGCTCCTATTTTTTTCACTAATTGGATTACTTGTTTTATTCCTGATTTGCATTTTTACAATTTTAGTGATTAAAACACTTTTTTCAATTTTTTTTTTCGTTTAAAATTATAATAAGAAAGATTTTATTGTATACTATTCATCGTCGTTTATTGGCTAGCTGCAACGGCTGATTTTCGAACGGCTGCAATGCACTTCGCCATGGTTGGTGACGATCTTGAAATAACATCAGTCATATAGTAATCATCTAGTTTCTTTTGTTGAATGTCGATTTTGCTGCTTGCAATTTTCGATTTCTGCAAAAAAAAGAGACACACAATGTGATTAGTGTTTGTAATTGAGCTGAGTTCAATTAAGAGAGTGTAGAATTTATTCTTCTTACGGCAGCTGGTAACGATGCAAGTGGTGTTCCTTCGCGTTTGCCATAGTTGGTGAGGTGTGGAGCGATTTGTTCCAAATGGCTACGAATGTCATCGAGCGTGTCGTATGGCAATGGATGACCTACAACTTCAGAGACGGCTCGGATGATCTTCCAGTCTTCGCGAGCTAATCCAGGTGCAGAAACGGCGGCCAACGTTTGCTGAGCACGGCCTTCCGCATTCAAATATGTGCCTTGCTTTTCTGTGTAAGCAGCACCTGGCAACACAATGTCGGCAATTGTAGCGCCAGCATCACCATGATGACCTTGATAGATGATGACACAATCTGATGGCAATTTATCGCGTGTGATCTTGTTATCATCAGCGCCCAACAAGAATAACACTTTTGGTTTCGATGCAATCACATCGTCGACACTGTTTGTAATTCCAATATCAAGTGCACCGGTAGCGGAAGCGGTGCGTTGCAAAACATTGAATGCATTCCATCCCTGGAATTGACAACAAAAATGATGAAAACAAAATAGAAAATATTCAAAATGAGTAAATAAAAACCGGAAAACGTTTTTTTTTTCTCCAAATGTCAAATCAACAGAGAAAATATGCTGAAAAAATCAATAATTTCGTACGAAAACTTACACTCTTTGACAATTTCTTTCCATATTCGTAGAGTGAGGTAAGGATAGCCTCTCCATCTGGTCTAGCTAATTGGTCAACACCAACGATGATGACTGGTTTTTGAGCACTTTCCAATCGCTTGGACAATGGATGTTTGCCACTAACAATATCGTTGATGATTGAAGCATCGTCTCCCAAATGCTGCAATATAAACGGAAATCAGTTGGAAAATGATGAGAATAATCGATTTCAAATACCACCGTTTTCAAACAAAAGGGATTTCAATGTAAAAAAATTCGACCGAAAAACAATCATACCTCATATTTATACGAAAGATCGACTTTTGGTCCGATCAACGAAACATTTCCTTCATTGTGGACGTAGCTCTTGCGCAGACGAGTATTCAAAATTGGTGCTTCATACCGTGGGTTGGTTCCCACGAGCAAAATCTCATCAGCATCTTCGATATCAGCGATTGGAGTGTTCAAAATGTAGGTTGAACGATTGCCAGCGCATACTTTTGGAACAGTGGTTTCAGTTGCGATAGTTTTCGAATTGAATTTGGTCAAAAGATCCTTAAGAGCAACAGCGGACTCAACATCAGCCAATCCACCAACAACAGCGGCAATTTTACCGTCAGCTTTTTGCAAATTACGGCCAACAGCAATCAAAGCACTTTCCCATTCAACGGCTTTCAATTCACCGTCAATTTTAAGCAATGGAGCAATCAAACGTTGACGCTTCAAACCATCACATGAGAATCTTGACTTATCACCCAGCCATTCTTCGTTAATGGATTCATTTTCACGGGGAACAACACGCATCACCTCGTTGGTACGAGTGCTGAGAATGACATTGCTGCCAATGGCGTCTAGCACATCGATACTATCAATCTTACGGATTTCCCATGGACGAGCCACAAAACTGTACGGTTTGTTGGTCAACGCACCGACTGGGCACAAATCAATTATGTTACCAGACAATTCAGACAAAAGCAACTTTTCAACATAGGTTCCGACTTGCATATCACTACCACGACCAGTGGTACCCAAATCATCGACACCAGCAATTTCTGATGCAAAACGAATACAACGTGTGCAGTGGATACAACGTGTCATAATGGTTTTTACCAATGGACCGATGTCTTTGTCTTCAACAGCACTGAAATAAAGATTTTTCCATTAAAAATGGCATCGGTGTAAAAATGGTAAGCGCAAAAAGAGGTATGACCAACCGTTTTCCTGTGTGATGAATATCAACGAATCGAGATCGATCTGAACCAAAGGCCATAGCTTGATCTTGCAAATCACACTCTCCGCCCTGATCACAAATTGGACAATCGAGCGGATGGTTCATCAACAAAAATTCCATAACACCTTTGCAAAGCAAAAAAAAAAAAGAACAAATCGAATAAATTTCCTTTTCAGGGTTTGAATATACTGCGCACATTGTCGTACCTTCTCTTGCTCGTCGTGTCAAATCTGAATTGGTTTTGATACGCCATCCCTTCATCACTGGCATCGCACATGCGGCAACTGGTTTTGGACTTTTTTCAACCTCAACCAAGCACATACGACAATTACCTGCAACAGCCAAACGCTCATGATAACAGAATCGTGGAATTTCTACACCAACTTGTGCCGCAGCCTGCGAATATTCAATGAAAATTTATTCAAGGTTTGATTTTTTTCAATTACATCGTAATTAAATCGCAACTTACTTGCAGCACAGTTGTGCCAGGTTCAACGAAAACACTCTGATCATCGACGAATACTTCGATTTTTTCGGGCGCTTTGGCTGGTGTTGCAGTCGACGAGCTTGCTCTTACGGCAAACATCAATCGATTATTACCACCACCTAGACTTTTGCTCAGGCAAAGACGTAACATTTTGAACTTTTCGCTTGATTTATACGGACATCAACAACTGGAATTTAAAACGGATATTATGGTTTTGGGTCCGTTTTTTGTTTCTATTTTGTAAAAAAATTACGTAAGATTGCAAACGAATACACGGTGTTGAATATCCGATGTTATGAAAAAGACGTACATGCGAACTGTCAAGAATTTTCAGGCGATACGATACATTGTCAATGTGAAATGTCAGACGTTGTTCTCGTCGGAACGTACTAGATTTTGGGCTAGATCTACTACTCAGTGGTGATAATAAACTCCAATGCGACATTGATTTTGTTTTGATTTTTGAATAATTTGACACAGTTCAATTCAACCTGTTAAAAACATTTTATTTTGCAATTCAAATAACGAACAACGTAATTTTCTCTTATTCTTTGTATTTCTCCATAAGCTCGTCAACAAAGGCAATGTACTTTTCTTTGGCTATATCTTGACTCATCCCTTTTTTCTCCCAATATGCATTCCACTTGGCTTTCCCTTTCAAGTCTAACATTCCAGGTTTGCCTAAGAGAAAAATAGACAAAATAATAATATAAAATCCTCTATTTTTTACAGTGTAAGCAATGAATTCAAATGCAAATCTTACTCGTATTATTGTCACCGAATGAGCCTTGCTTGAAAAAAGCGTACAATTGAAGTAATTCTTGGTCGGTTGGTCGTTTGGTCAATGTTTTCACCCGCTCAGCGGCTTCATTGAATCTCTGAACAAAAAATTTGTAATTTTGTTAACGAAAAAACAATTATTTTCAGTGTTTTTATCAAATTGATGTCGAAACAATAAACAAAACCAAGCGATTGTCTTACCTCATCCAAAGACATTATTCTCTCTCTTTGTCAATCTGTAACTATAAAAATAAAAACGAATTTTAGTGTTTGAATGGAATATTTTAATTGGATATTTTTCAAAGCACATTTTTTAGACTTTAAAACTCAAAAAAAATGTCTTACTCAATTGTATATGTTAGAATAACGCTTTTTTTTTTAAATTAAAATCGAACGTGGTTGTGGAACGATAGGTAAATGTTGAAATCGTTAACAATTCATTTTAAACCTAGTAAATATTTTTGCTTTGGGCAGCCCATAGTTTAGCGTATAATCCGTTTAAGCCGAGTAGTTTATCGTGTGTGCCGCGTTCGCAAACACGGCCTTTATCCAAAACTAAAATCTCATCGGCATCTCGAATGGTGGACAGTCGATGTGCGATGCAAATGCTGGTTCGACTCTTCGTAGCTGCGACAAGTGCTTGTAGAATATTATGCTCAGTGATTGAGTCCAAGCTACTAGTTGCTTCGTCAAATATCAAAATTGGGGCGTCCTTAAGAATGGCTCTTGCGATAGCAACTCGTTGCTTTTCACCTCCAGACAGTTTGAGTCCACGTTCACCGACTTGTGTATCGTATTGTCTTGGCCACTTAATGATGGCTTCATGCAAACCGGCCATTCGTGCGGCTTCTTCAATTTCAGCTTGACTTTTGCTCAAATCACCATATCCAATGTTGAACCCTATTGAATCGTTGAACAAAACACACTCTTGAGGCACAATTGCGATTGCTTTACGTAAACTATCCAAGTCAACATCGGTGATTTGTTGGTTGCCAATACTTATCGTGCCCGAAATTGGCTCAAAAAATCTATACAACAAACGAACCATTGAACTTTTACCACTTCCACTGCCACCGACAAAGGCAATCTTCTTACCCGCTGGTATATCAAACGATAGACCGTCGAAAATTTTCTTCCCCGCTTCATATTCGAAAGACACATTTCGGAAGGAAATGGCAGCATTCTCGCGTCCAATCGACAAATACGGTGCATTTGGTTTGTTTTGAATTGCTGCCTCAAGGTTCATCAGCCGAAACATGGCACTCATATCGAGAACAGCTTGCCGTACCTCACGATAAACACTGCCCAGAAATCCTAGCGGAATTGACAATTGGAACAGCAAACCGTTCACCATGACCAAATCACCGACGGTCATATTTCCTTTGGCAATTTCTTGTGCGGCCAGGTACATAATTGCCGTCAAACCGACGCTGAATATTGCATGTTGACCGGCATTCAAAAGTGCCAAACTCGATGCCGTTTTTAAACTGGCCACTTCGTATTTTTGCAACACTTTATCGTATTGTTCGGCTTCGTATTTTTCGTTGTTGAAATATTTCACCGTTTCGTAATTGATGAGCGAGTCAATGGCCTTGTTTCCGGCTTGATTTTCCGCTTTGTTCATGTAAACACGGAATTTCGTACGCCATGATGTGATACCCAATGTGAATGCGGCATAAATTCCGACGCAGCTCAACGAAATGCATGCGAAAGCCGGTCCACATTTGATTCCAAGAATGGTTGAGACCAAAGCCAATTCAAAAATCGTTGGCACAACATTAAACACCATTGCTGTTAGCACGAAGTTGATGCCACGCGATCCACGATCGATGGTTTTCGAAAGAGCACCAGTTTGTCGATTCAAATGAAACCTCAGATCCAGTTTATGCATGTGCATGAAAACATTGGTCGCAATTTTTCGAATCGAATGCTGTGCAACTTGTGCGAAAACTGCATTACGTAATTCACTGAAGCCAGCCGCACTCAAACGGGCAATGCCGTAGCCGAGAATGATTGATGTGCAAATTGTCAATGATGTATCGGGCACCGAAGCTGTAGTCAGTACATTTAAATTATCAACGGCCGCTTTGAACAGGAATGGAACACAAACACTCAACGCTTTCGCACCGACAAGTAGTCCAAGCGAAAGGGCAACTCGACGACGGATCATTTCGTTGTCTTTGGGCCAAATGTACACCATCATCGCCTGAATCACCTCAGCCGAAGATATTTCAGGCCCACTGTACAAATCAACCGTTGACGATGACAACGACTGGCTCACTGGCGCTGTTGGCAATTTCTTTCGCTTTGAAAACACATTACTCAGAATATTTGTGCCGAGCTTTCCATTTTTGGGTTTTGTTTCTTTCGCGTCGTCATTCGATTGTACGGAGGCAGCTGATAGTGTTGATGTGCTCGCAAAATTTCGCCAAAAATATCGTCCGGACGTTTTACATATCGAATATGACAATTGATTTCCACTTAAAATATTAAAATAACGATTGATACTTGTGATGCTGTGTGTTTGTTTTGTTATACAACTTTTGCACAAAATCGAAATCATTTCGACTGAGAGAGGTAGGTGTGCGGGCCTCTTAATATTGTGATCACACTAGCAGTTTTGTGATTGCAAACATCAACTCGCGAACGGGAAAGTGACATTGACGTTTTGTACTAGAGGCAAAATACAATAACATCAAGAAATTTGCCGTACTAAAAGTGCTTAACTAGTTGGTTGGTTGGTTGGTTGGCTCACAGGTTGGTTCATGTGTTTTTTTTTTCATCGTTGATTTGTTATTGTTTTGGCTGACATGCTAAGATTCGACATAATATCTGCTGTTTCGTGTTCAGCATATTTCCGCATATGAATAGTAAAAGTAAAATTCAAAACACATGCACATCGAAAATCAGTCATTGCATTTTATTCTTATTTCATAATCGCTGCTTTGCTATTATGCGCTCATGCGACACTGAATTTTCCATTGAACATTTTGTTTTTTTTTCGTGTTGATTGTTTCTTTACGATTAATTGGCGGTGATTTCGTAATTGTTCATGCTCAAGTGGATTAATCCATCCGTTGTTGTTGTTGTTGTTGTTGTTTTTCTTCTGTGCTTTATTTTTGATATGGAAATTCATTATGCTCACCGATAGATTCGACTTGCATACATTGAACGCAACTTTCGAAATGCTACTTAAACGGAATTATTTTTCGTGATAATTACGTGAAATTGTTTTTCTGTTTCGCCGAGGTTTGTCCAAAGCCGAATGAAAAATTCAATTTAAATTTAATGCCAACTTGCAATTTTTAAGGTTGAAAGGTCGATGTTTTATTCATTCGGCGCTTCTAAAAGCCATTTGACCTTACGATTTTGCTTTGTAAATTCTGAACAGCGAACTGTTTATATACATATTAAACTTCAATACAATTTTCGAAATAAAACGTCCGTCTTCACGAAACATTTATTTTTCCTTATTCATTATGCTTGGCCGCTACATTCGCGACATGGTAAACTGGTTAATTTGCGAACGAAGAACAGAATAAAGAAAAAAAATTGTCGTAAACCGTATTCATGTTGCAATTTGAACTCGATTCAACCATTAAATACATTAAATTGCGGGACCATGCGTCTACTCAATTTAACTAGTTGACCGTGACGCATTCGTACTCATATTTTTTGGTTGTTTTTATCTTCGCCGTAAAACTGGTAGCTATTAAATCGTTCTAAATCCATCGCGTGCATACGTGCTGCGAGGTACAGAGATATGTATGGTAAAGTTAACAAAACCGTTGATATTGCAACTCGTCGATCCTGCCGCCGTTCACTGAAAAGTGCAACCTGATGCATGCCAAACTATTATGCAAGACATTGTTTATATCTTTTATCGATATAAATGTGGCTTACGCCATCCATATCGTATTTTGATACCGATCTGTTTTTCGGAATGCTATTTTTAGACTTGATGAACATTTTAATGTGCTTTTGTTTTAAACAATTTTTTACTTTTTTACTAAATATTCATACATTTTAACAACTTTTTTCACTCACGTTGTTATACTAAACTCACCAATGGAGTACACGAAGTTTGTGTCACAAAAAGCTGGCGTTCTTTAAAACATTCTTTAGTTTCTTTATTTAAAATAAATTGAAATAAATCGATATTTATTATTTAACCGTTTCAAATTTTAACAAAAATGAACATTTCAAAATCGAACCAAAACACAAAGACAAAAAAGTGTGTATATATTACCAAATGTGTATAAAAATATTTCCAATTAAATCGAAACTTGAAAATAAATCAAAATAAGAATTAAAAAAACAACGATGAGCTAACGTACCTTCTGCTGCAACAGTTGAATACTTACTGAAGTAACTGGTGTTTGTTTAGAAACACATCAATGGAAGGAAAAAACAGAACAGTTCGGCGCAAGCAAAAGAAAAAAATACGTTCATGAATGAGACGGCACGACCTTATATTGCTTTTTGGTCGAATTGGAAATACACGTGCATCGAACGAGAGGTGGGAATGAAAAATGTTTGTCGTTTTTTTAGTGAAGAGGTCAGCTTCTTTAACATCCTGATGGTTAAAAATAAATGCAATTATATTGCGATCATAGTGAAAACATAATTGAATGCAATTTTCTTTCATAAATAAAATAAAGAGACAGGCGAGTTTATAATAACCTAAAATTTCGCAGTTGATTTTATTTTACCACAAATACATTCGAATGGCGTTGACATTAAATGCTGAAACTGTCAATAATAAATGATACATCTATAACAATTAAAATGTTTATTTTCCTTTCTTTGCGGCGGATTTGGCTGCTTTTTCGGCCTCTTTCTTTGCTTTCTTTTCTCTGGCTTTTCGGCCGCCCAACACTTCAATACGTTCGTCTTCTGTGAGAGGTTTATTTGTGCCAACTACTACTCCAGTTCCGACAGTGACTTTGCCATCACGAATCGTGAAACGTTGACCTTTGTCGAATACCATTGGTTTGATAAGCTTCAATGTGAGTCTGTTTTGTAATGAGAAAATGTGGCAAAAGCCGAATTGAGTGATATAATAATGGTATGCATTTCCTCTTGGCTGAAATATTCAGAGTGTTGCTTACTTTGCATGTGTGCCCGGCATTACAATTGAACCTTCTGGTACTAGAATTTGAGCGGTGCAATCCCATGTCTGTTTTGTAACGAGAAAATGTGGCAAAAGCCGAATTGAGTGATATAATAATGGTATGCATTTTCTCTTGGCTAAAATATTCAGAGTGTTGCTTACTTTGGAGAACAGATTCATCAACGCAAATGAAGCGAATGGTTTGGATCGGCCACCTTCTTCTTTCTTGAGGATGTAGACTTGGGCTTCAACCTGGAAATCAGTCAGAGATTTGAATTGATTTCAATCACAACTAATGAGTTTAAATTTCCTTCGAAATTTTGATTCAAAAATACATACGTGATCGCTCATTTTGTGTGTTCCTGGTTTGCACAAAACCATACCACGTCTAATATCATCACGTTTCACACCACGAACCAATACTCCCAATTGATCGCCAGCCTGGGCTTGGTCCAACAGCTGATGGAACATCTCAACACCGGTAACTGTTGATTTTAATGTTTTGTTGTATCCAATAATTTCGCAATCGTTTCCCTTCTTAATGACACCTTGTTCGAGCAAACCGCTGCACACTGTGCCACGATTTGGAATCGAGAAAACATGCTCAATTGCCATATAGAAAGGTTTATCTAAATCACGTTCAGGTGTTGGAATATAGTTGTCAATTTCTTTCAACAGTTGCATAATTGATTCGGAACCAAGTTCAGGATTTTTGCCTTCCAATGCATTCAATGCCGATCCACGGACAACTGGCAAATTGTCACCGTCAAAGCCCATCTCATTCATTAACTCACGAATTTCCATTTCAACCAAATCAACCATCTCCGAATCAGCAGCATCGACTTTATTGATGTAAACGATAATGTGTTTTACTCCAATTTGTTTAGCCAAAATCAAATGCTCACGAGTCTGTGGCATAGCACCATCGGTGGCGGCAACAACCAAGATTGCTCCTGAAATGTGAAGGAAAAACATCAAAGATTAATATGCAAAAAATGAAAGTTGAAAATTGTTCAACTTCCAACCGAACAACACGATATAAATAGCAGAATGTCACTAACCGTCCATTTGCGAGGCACCAGTAATCATGTTTTTGACGAAATCGGCGTGACCAGGGCAATCGGTATGACCGTAATGCCGTTTTTCGGTGGCATATTCAACGTGTGCAGCATTAATTGTGATACCACGAGCTTTCTCCTCTGGTGCATTATCAATTTCGTCGTAATCTTTTACCTCGGCCAAATCTTTTTCACTCAACACCTTCGTAATAGCTGCGGTCAATGTTGTCTTTCCGTGGTCAACGTGCCCAATCGTACCGACGTTACAATGTGGCTTATCACGAGTGAACACTCTTTTGTCGGAATAGCATCGTGATTGGCAAATCGGTTGGAATTTATACAATTGTGATAGAGCGCCTCCTTTGCTGTTAAAGGCATGATGCAAGAATACACGATTTCCTGCAATTGAAAACATAACCTCAACGAATGTGCCAAACCAAAAACTTGTTTTTCACATAGAAATGAACCAAACGGTTGATTTTTTATACCTGGATTCAGGATCGCACGGACTGCACTAAATGTTGCCATTTTCAATCGACTTCTCTCAATAAGTTTAGGATAGTTCGTCGAAAGACAAAATCAGTATTTCGTAGTTCTTCGCCGATTATCCAATGTGAAAAGGGAATTGGTATCTGTCAAACAGATCGCGAAAGCTCTGTGAGCATTGACTTTTGACGCAGCGTTAACTCATGTGACATGCGTTCCGGTTTGAATTCAGCTCCAATGACCAAGTATTCGGAAATCATGTGGACAGAAAATCAATAAAAATCATTGCAAAAGCATTTTAATTGTTGTGATCGCGTTTCTTTGCGAATTTAAAAGAATAAACTATTTCATGAAAACTAACATGGGAAATTCATTGCATGAACATAAGTGAAAAAAAAACTGCTGCTAACGCACTCGTTGCCATGCGAACCGAGAGCCAAAGCAATGGATGGAGATGGATGAGTGCGACTTTGACAGTTGGCAATGTGTGTATTGATATTTGAGTTGCGGCCATACAATTGCAACACATATATGTACGTGTGTGCATAAGACGCAGAGAGTAGCGTGCACATGACCGTATGGCGAGAAGAGGAAGCATATCGATTTGGCTATCCGATTCGATAGTAGCACATTCATTGAATGCGTACCATCACAGCTACACACATAACAGCAGCAGCAGCAGGAGGAGCAGCAAGCGCACGACAGTGTTCAATGTAGTGGTGATACGTGCGTGGAAGTCTTCAGCTGCTGCGGCCGTAAATTCGAAAACAATTCATGTTCTCTGCATTACGGAATCATTTAGCTTTTAGTTTTTCAATGGCGCACCAACTGTTTAGATGCGTAAACACACAGTTCGCTTCAATTCTCTCAACTCAATAAATGTTTATTTTTTTTTCCTCTCAATCTGATAAAGTAAAACCGAGTTTGTTGTACAAATAATCGTGTTATTTTGATATCAAAGCCGTTTGAAAAAATAAAAATCTATTTTTCTGTTCACATCGATTGTGTAGTAATCTCGAATTTTGATAGAACACAACCAACTGAATGGAAATTGTTAAATTCTCACTCGAGTGATGCGTGAAAAGTGCTTGATTTTTGCGTGATTTGTGTGTGCGGAACGCAACAGAATCTTTTTTTTTCATGTTTATGTGTGTGTGTTCATCATTTCATAACAAATAAATTGTTGTGGTAATAAATCTCGGGTAGCAGCATCATCAGCATTAGCGAAAAAAAAAATCACGAGAGAAATTCACTGCGCTAAGAATTCCATTTGCGAATTTGTGAAGAACTTGTGATTTACACACGCCTATTTTTTCGATTCCATCATGCGATTTATAAATTAAAATGTTTTTTTTTTTTTTTAGTTATGTTTAAGCAAATTATGTACAAGAAACAGAAGAAATAAGCACGCAGAGACACTAAATGAACATGTGGCATCAAACACTGTGATTATTAAAATAATAACAAAAAAAAATTCAAAATACAACGAAAACCAATTCAATGGATTCTTGAGATTGGAAGAGAAAACCGAAAGAGAAAAAACAGTGCGCTTGTTTACAAGTGATCGAATTGAAATCGCATGCGAACAATTTCGTTTCACGTGCAATTTTCCTTTCAAGTGTTTGCGAAAGTACATAAAAGACCAACACCATCGAAGCAAAAAGGAAAACCGTGTGTTATATAAAATATAGAGTGAGAATAATAAAAAAAAAAAAACTCGAGGGTTCAATTGAATTTTTGTCCCCAAAAATAATCTGAACCATTTATCGATTCGATTCTTTTATTTGTAGTTCTTTTTTCCTCGCCGAATTGTGTGTGTACCATTGCGAACGGCCAAAGTGAAGTACATAATCGAATATGGATTTTTCAAAATGCAATCGATGCCAATCGCGTAAAATATATTGTATTGAAATTGAACCGATGGAAATAACTGTAAATGGCAACAGCCAAAACAAACTGAATCGTGGCCACTAGACGAGAGAAAACGCCAGAAAAACAAAAGGAAATCGCGCGAGTCGATTTGATTTTTCATTTGGATACTTGTTTAAATTACATTTTTGATTTTGTTGTGACACCAATGATCAAAAATTCGCATTTATGGCGTTGCTGCAAGTTCGACACAGCGTCGGCACGTTACACACGCTAAGACTTGTGTTTTTATCAGCCATCATCATCATATGTACGGAACCGTTGTCAGGTGTGTATACTTATCATTCATTTTTGTTTGCCGTGTAGAACGAAATGAGATAGAGAAAAAGAGGAAGAGAGAGAGGGAGGGAAAGAGAACCATGCCGAACGCAAATGCCACAATTTGTGAATCATGTCTTACACATGCGAACACACACACACACACATACGGCCTATTATCCGAAATTCATGGTTTATTTTTGTTGTTTTGATTTTCAACTAATTGGAGGATGTCGGTTTTTTTATCGACGAAAAAGGAATCCATACACGGTTCACAAAGTGGATTGCGTTCCGCATAATCGTAGCAATGAATCGTCTCAACATAAACGTTATCATGATATGCGCGTACACTAGATTCGAAATAATTATGGTAGAGATTAAATTCTCTTCAAGCAAATGAATAATTTCTCAAAGCCAATTATCCATATATATCGTCGTTGGTTGTGGTACATTTTGTGTGCGCCACTGCTTTCTCGCTCTATCCCTGTCCCGCACGTACGTCTCATTCACTGCCATGATAAATGCGAAACAAATAAGATTTATGAATTATTACTGTAGATAAGCAGTTGTATTGCACAGTAGAGAGAACACCCTTGATCCTTATGTAACGCGTAAAATTCTTGTCGATAATTTCTGTTTAATTTCTGTGTGTGTTGCCGAGGTGCTTCACTTTGCGCCTATTGCATGATATTTCGCGTTCGGTGTGCGTGTTCCTGTTCACTCACTCACTCACTCACTCACTCTCCACCGCCCGCCCGCCCGTTCACCCGCTTGCTCTATCGCTGACACTCATCGCAATCGTCGCCGTTGCGCGAGAATAAGTATGTGTTGTGTGCAGAAAGAAGCATACAAACCGTGTTCGTTTCACGTTCATTGTCATTACCATCGCTATGTTGGAGTTTATTACGTGAAAATGTGTGACAGCTTTTTTTTGCTGCTGCTGCTGCTGCTGCTGCTGCTTCTTTCTTTCATTTCGTGATATCGTGCCGCGCGCGCTCATCTTGTCATTCGGCTGGTTCCTTCCTTTTTGTTTCACTTTATTTCCCCCTAGTTGTGTGTTATATATGCGCTATTGCGCTATTTTTATGTTTGAGTTTCAGCCCAAAGTGATTCCGATGACGTGAACCTTTTAAGCTCTCTGTTCGGTGGCATCAAAAAGGAAATGAGAAGGTTTTGTGCGTGTGTTTGTGCATATGTATATGCTCTCTTCATACGAAACCAGGTTAATAAGTTTAATGCCATAACATTTTGATATGTTTGCCCCGAGATTTATGTATATGATGAGATATGCTGAATGCGTTTGGCATTCCACACATAAACGAACAGAACGACGCACATAGAGAGAGAGAAAGACAGAGTGAGATCAAGAGAGAGAAAAAAAACCATAATAACATTTGAATCCTAAAAATAGGTAAATTCGATTTGGATTTCGGTTTCAACATGTACGCAATGTCACACGCTGTCAATTCAAAAACATCAACTTAATGAAAAATGAGTGACATGAATTTGCAATTAGGGCAGGCGCGCGCGTTCACGAGCGAGTGAGTGAGAGATAAATGGTGAATTATGACAAATTTCTGTTGCTCTCTTTCATTCGTCAAAATGGGGAGAAAAATTGATAATCGAGAACTTGTTCGTATTGTTCGTGTATCGTTTAAAATGGGCTCAAAATATAATTGACAATGGCACTTATTTTATTTCATCCGACGACAATTCTGGCTTTCAATTTGGCGTGTAATGTTGTGCAATAAATGTGCGAGATGTGCGTTCGAGATGAATTTCGCATTGTTCTACGTAATTGCAAGATTTCAATCTTAATTTGATTATGCGTTGCAGATAATGTGGCCGCTGCCGACGACAGTTGTGCCAGTGCCGTACGGCACACTGATGACTGTATGTCAATGAATGAGTGATGAGCATGCGTGAGAGTGACTCAAAAACTAGAGCAAATAGTTCTTGGGTTCATTTAAGTGATAAATTAAGTAAACGCTCTGTAACTGCGCACTAAGTTGAGAAGAACAGACTGATTCAAATGTGAAGGCACCCAAATTCCAACAGCAACAATCGCAATGCAATCAGACGAGCGTGCGATAAAGAGAAAGAGTAACAGAAGAGCGAGATAGAACTGGAAACTATTTGAAAATGTGATTCTCGTTTGTAAAATGGCTTTGTAAATTTTAATTACGGAACAGGTCATTTATCTCAATGAGAGTGAGCAATTTGGTTTGAATCGCCCCTCAGAGAGAACAAGAGATAGAATGCCGCAGGAAAGGCAAAGAAAAAAAAAAATAGAAATCAAAACAATATCAACTTACAATTCCCCTTTCGAAAATGAAAAGAAAAAAACAACAAAATCCCAAAGTCGAATGTTTAATCAAGAACCAGTTGATTTAAATCGCATGAATAATTAAATACAAAAAAGAAGAATCGACTTTTTGCGGAAATATTCTTTCAAATTTCATCAGATGATAAATATCAGATTGCATTTTTTTTTTGTTTGGTGAGCATTTTATTGCCGATTAAATTTTGTTTAGTTTCATTTGCTTTTTTCTATGCCAAACATTTTTTTTTTTTTCTTCTCCATTTTCGGAGGGAATTCTTGTGCTGTTCACTTTATTCGAACGTTCTTTCGTTCAACTTGCTGCAAAGAGATATAGAGAGAATGTGTATAAGTCATCCGAGTGTATTAGTGACACTGTACAAATGGCATATACACATAGCTGGTGTATTGTTATTGCGTATTTATAACCAAAAAGAAGAAACCAAGAGAAGCAAAAATAAAATCCATTTTCGTGCTCTATTCGAAATTCAAATTGAATGAAGCGAACGATGAAGCAAACGAGATACACAATAGTCAAAATGGATAAAATATCAATGTTATGTATACAAACAGTAAACCCTCGGCATTCATTGCTTCTTCGCCTTGTACGTGTGAATCGATGCGTTTTGTGTGAACCGAGAGAGCGAGTGAGAGAATCGACCGACGGACCGGCCGGTTGGTTAATGTTCGTAACACAATCAATGTTGTGCTGTTTCTCTCGTGTTTGCGCACGTTGCTTTATATATTGGTGTAGCGTGATGCGTACTGCCGCCGCACTCGCCCTACCGTTGTATTCTGTGTGTTCGGTATTTGGTTGCCAAAAAACACGAACCACAACATGTAAAGACTTGTCTACTACTTGCTTCTCTGTGTATAGCTGCTTCTCGCTGCTTGTGTGTGTGTGTGTTTGTGTGCAGGAAGAAAGCGTTGAAGCGAAAAAGTTCAATTTCGTCATCACTCTCTCTCTCTCTTGCTGTGTTCCATCCATCGCTTGCTTGTTCCTTTTGTTTGTATTTTTGTTTACCGCACTCTCGCTATATATCTTTGGCAAATGCCTTAATACACAGTCACATTGTGTGTTTGTGCCATTGAAAATCTTATATACACACTCGGTGAGCAAAACGAACGCTTGTTACAGTGGCTACGATATTTATCATATGCGTACGTAAACGTACATCTATATAGAATGCACTGTATATTCTATAGTACAAACCTTAATAGTCGAATAACACAATTTTGTGCTCCTCACTTTATGCGGAACACACAAAAATAAAATAAATGGATAAATATTGCTTGATGTTTGAAATCTGTGTGTTTGTATGTAATTGTTCCTGTTAAGTAATTCTTTTACTTTTATTCTGCGTCGTGTGTTTTTGGCGTTGTTGCTGCTTCTGCTGCTGTCATTGATGTTCTTGCTCCGTTTCGCCTCTTCTATCTCCGTTTCTTTCGGTTTGTGTGTTGCGTTTTCTTCGTATGCCTTATGCATGTGGGTTTTTGGTTGTATTCACCACTCTTCCAAATGGGATTCTTTATCTGTGTTGTGTATTTTTTTGTTTGGTATTTTGGAGCTTCGATGTGCGCAGGCAAACATTCTGCAATGTGTATCGAATAAACGATACCGTTTTTATAGCAATTAAACAAAACAAAAAAAGAAGTTTATGTTTGCTTACACACATCGTAGACTAACTGGTGGCCATAAGAGACACCGACTCAGGCAAAAAGAATTATTTTATGTGTATTTGTGTGTGTGTGTGTGTATTTGCAGGCGATATTCCGAAAGGGCAGTTTGCAACAAGAGAAAGAGCGAAACATCAAATGGAGAAATTGACAGAAAAAAAAACATGCTGAAAACAGATAAAAACACCGAGGAATTATATTGACCCAGTTCAAGCGGATACTGCTGTTTGTTTATGCACTGATATAAAATTCCATTTCGAATAAAATATCACTAATCTGTGTGCCGAATAGTTTGGATTTTCTCTCCATTGGCTCTCGTTTATAGCCTCCATTCGACTATCTATCGCCAATTCAATATCGCTGATGACAAAAAAAAAACAGTTTGGCTTTCGAATATCCATTCGTCCCACACATACACATGCAAACATCATTCGATCGTTTCCATTTTGAATAAACGTTTGATTTTCCTTTTGGGCAATTCGCTCAGAATATTTACGTCGCACGCATATATATATACAAATGACAATCACATGAATGAACGAAAATTAATCGCTCGATTCGATGTTTTCTGGTTATGTTTAACAACCGTCGTGAAATTGCAGTAAAAAAAATGAACGAAGAAAAATTCGCCTGTTTGTTAGCTGTCATTCAGACGACTGGGCCACACTTTTTCACTCCTCACATTTCAGTTTTAGTTTTTCGTTTTGTTTATAAGATGAAGTCTTTGTTTACCGAAATGTTTATGTATTACTTGGTTGGCGAATAGAAAAGTATGCGCGTGAGCGAGACAGAGAGGGAAGGCGAGAGGAAAAGAGAAAGAGAGAGCTAGAAGTGAGTACAGCGATGTGCGATCGTATGGTGTGTTGTTTATAAGTAAAAACACAAATTGATTGTCATTTCATTTCATCGCAGTAGTTCAATAGGAATACGAAATTCACGCCAAACATCCGTGGCAAATTTTGCCATTATATTTACGTCTCCGTCTGTTTAATGAATCAACGTGCATACATTTT